TTCAAATTGAATAAGTGACGCCTGTACGGCTCATCCTGTTGAAAGATGAATATTATCGATCTTTTTATTCTGTTAACGAAAGTAAAATAAAAGGTATAGTGTGAGAAATACTGTCAAATTTACAGAAAAGATGCTGATAGCAATTGTATTTAGTTTTCAAGTACAAATGTAGTAGCACGGCAACGTTCATTAAAGTCATCTTCATTAGATACCTTACCAGTTGGGTAATGTACACGCCATAGGATATCACAAGAGGAACATCGCCGACTAAAAGGGAATTTTGTTATTTTTAGTTTCATTTTTTTGTACTCTTGAATACAGATGTGTCTATAAGGACAATTACATGTACGACTATTTTTATTAGCTTTAATTAAACTGAAGTTCTTTTGGATGACTACATTTATGCTACATCAATCTTTAAAGACCCAAATGTAGCAAAACACCTGTGATACCTTCATGACAAACATGTTGTTGTCCCCGCAGACATCGTTTTTGTTTGTAAATCACATTACATAAACTACTTGATAAATAAATTAGGTATTGTCAATTCATTTGGAAACACAACATATACCCCCACGACACTTACCAAGGAGGAAATCCTGGATACTCATAGGTCTGTTTTATGTTCCTTTTGGTATTTCAACCAAAGATGAAGAACTGTATTGGATACTTAACTACACAAGTGTCCTTACAAACAACGTTAAATTGTTGGGTCATTCAAATGCTCAACGAGAGCTCTTTCTAAATTACTAACATAAATTTCATCAGCAATCAAAGCCGGGCTTCAAAGTTATTGTGAAACTACTAATTTCAGAGATGGCGTGAATCAGATGTGGATACTAAAAAAATTCAAAGATCTTTTAGAGTACATACAATCTAATACTCTTTCATCTCGCAATAGTACCCCCTTATGGGTGTAATTTGTGCTTAATAAAGTTACTATTAAAACATTTGACTTTTCCACACTTAACACAAGTATTCTCCATTCCAACTAAAAGACAAATTAAAAGAGTTGGTCCTGCTGTATTTCACAAAAATGAATGGCCAAAGTAGATACAAGTATCTTGTCTTAGGAAGGGAAAAATCGTATTTTGTAGAAAATCACTATGATTTAAACAAAAAATTCTCTGAAACTGACATTATCAAGATGCTTGATTTCTTGATTGACAACATGTTTACTAGTGTTGTCAAATTACAGAGTGTTACCTAACCGGTTAGTCGGATAATATTTCAACCGATTTAACGGTACCGGTAGTAAAGTTAATTGTTAAAATCTTTGTCTACACTACTCTACAAATATAAAAGTAAGAAGATGTGGTATGATTGCCAATGAGACAACTCACCACCAGAGACAAACTGATATAGAAGTTAGGTCACCGTACGGTCTTCAACAATGAGTAAAACCAATATTGCATAGTCAGCTATAAAAGGTCCCGAAATGAAAAATGTTAAACAATTGAAACGAGAAGACTAACGACGATTTATGTGCGAAAAACAAATATGATATAAAGCAACAAAAGACATCCACTGAATTACAGGCTCCTGACTTGGGACAGGCACATATAGAATGTGGCGGGGGTAAAATGCACGGCTTCATGATACGATGAATTAAAGTTAATTCTTGGCCATTATATGGCTTGGCTTTAAGAATTCCTGGTGAAGTTTTTATTTTAATAATCAAATACTACCATATCTACAGTACCGTTTGTAATAACTTCAGACAGAGAAGATGAAAATCTTCTTGATCTCGGGGAATTGACAAAGTATGATAATTCTGTTGGGTGTTTCAATTTGAGATGATTAGCGTGTAACTCGTACCACATAGTATATGTTAGTTCCATTCACAGAATTTACATTTCCCCGTTTCTGAGCGGAGGATTCGACTAAATTATGAGAAAGCCTTGGACGATGGAGGTGGCAAATTTACGCAATATTAAATCAAAAATTGAATAATGAAGTAAATAGTAAAATTTTATCAGCTTATGATTGTTCAAAATACATGTATGCTAATTATGTTTACTTTAGATCTTACCCCAAGCTGATAAAAAAGTTGTTTTTGTGCTAATCAATTCTGTAAAATTAGAATGGTTTCAAGGTAATTGAAAAGCAATCAATATATTATTAAAAAGTTCAAACAAAATTCAAATTTAATGACTGTAATACACAATTATATCGAATCTATTAAAATTGAAAGGAGGTCTGGTTAACCGGTTAGCGTTTTTGGTATTCGATATTCGGTCCTTCCGACGGTTAACCGGTTAATCGGTCAACCGTTGACAACACTAATATTTACAACATATTTGTTACGTTTTGAGGACGTGTTTTTTTCAACAACAAAAATCGGCATTCCCATAGAAACCAACTGTGCTCCTCTTCTTGCCGACTTGGTCCATTATTCGTATGAGGCTGACTTCATACAGGGTCTTCTTAGGAAGAGAGAAAAGAAGTTAACAATATCCTTAAACATCACTTTCCGCTATATAGATGATGTTCTGTCATTAAATAATTCAAAAGTTGGTGACTATGTTGAACGCATCTATCCCATAAAACTTGAGATAAAGGATACAACAGATACAGTTAAGTCTGCCTCATAACTTGACTTACATCTAGAAATTGACAACGAGGATCGGTTGAAAACAAAAACTTTACGACAAAAGAGATGATTTCAGCTTCCTTATTGTGAACTTTCCATTTCTATGGAGCAACATTCCAGCAGTACCTGTATTAATCTCCCAGTTGATACGATATTCCAGGGCGTGTATTTCCTATCATGATTTCCTTGATTGAGGGTTGCTGCTCACAAGGAAGCTATTAAACCAAGAGTTCCAATGGGTTAAGTTGAAATCATCCCTTCGTAAATTTTACGGACGCCATCACGGGTTGGTTGACCGTTATGGAATATCTGTTTCACAGATGACGACGGATATGTTCAAATTATCATAACTACAATCCCGTCCCCTTTTCCCCGAATGTGACCTACCGAATTAGACTTATCACCAGATTTGTACGTACATGAGCATCACGACGGTTGTCATATATGGAGCAGGATCTGTTTACCCTTCTGGAGCACCTGAGATCACCCCCAGCTTTTAGTAGTGTTCGTGTTGCCCCGTCTTTAGTTTTCTATGTTGTGTTTTGTATACTGTTGGTCTTTTCTTTTTTTAGCCATGACGTTGTCAGTTTATTTCCGACTTATAAAAATGTCGATTAATTTGTCAGAAGTTTTCATTTTTGCTATCTAAAATTTTCAATGAAAGAAAATGCATAACAACAAAGAAAATATCGGCCATTAGACTAAGGTGCGCAGTTCGTAGCCGTAGGAATCCGATAAGTTGACTGGCGATATAAAACATTGCCCTAACGAAAAAAAATATTGTCAAGCAAGAAGATCAAAGTATTACGCGTATACCTAGGGACAATGATTTAACAAAGACCGTTTATTATTACAACACACGAAAGGGACAATGATTTAACAAAGACCGTTTATTATTACAACACACGAATCAAGACTAGCTTATTTATCAAAGGTAAATTAAACTAGCTTATCAAGTTTATTATTCTTCAGATTATGTGGTAGAGTAGTGTATATGGCAGAAAATCATTACTTTCATTTTTTTTTAAACGAGAATTTAGTATGGGTTTTGATAGACTTAATTTGTTGCAATATTGAATAATAAGATTTTTAATGATAGAAAGTGAACTAGTCAGAAGGGCATACAATTTAATAGTAGTACACTTGAGAAAAGTTAGAGTTATAAGCTGTTTTGTGTAATTGAGTTAAGCAGTGACACTTTAAGGATACTGTGGTTTTGACTTGACGCTTGAAGACGAAACAAGTTTTCCCAATTTAGAATTTCTTAACGTTAGACGTCGATGTAATACTTACGTCAAACAAACACAAGTTGTTTGCTGCCTTGTCAGAGCATACTTATTATTTTGTCTTTTAGTTTAGATCAAACAGTTTTTGATTATCAGTCTCTATTTAGTTTCTTAGTACTGATACGTTTGTCAACAATGTAATTTCACTTTATTTTTTAATTTATTTAAAGCGTTTTAATAGCTTTTTTCCCTTTTTCGTTCAATTATCTGAAATATTTTCTTATTTTTATATCAAAAGATATTTTATCAAGATGCCTTCTAATTTGTTCCCTTTAAACATGATTTCTTAATATCTTGGACTTGAATGATATCCATATTACCGGTAATGACCACGTACATGGATGATAGATATATATGATGAATCTGAGCAGTTACAATGTTTCCGGATAATTATCATTAATATTTACTACTGATGTGAAAGACGAATAATTGAAGATAAGACATCTGGTAGAATGTGTATACGAGTACGAAATTACTGGTAGTTTTTCATTATCAAAATGTTACATGTTATTAACGTTTGAACCTAACATGTTTAACTAATTCATAATTTTATTGGTAAATTTAAATTTCAGAAAATTTTGAAGTATTATCCACTTCTTTATCGATGTATCGTAAAATTTGATGCGCACTGATAGTATGTGGGTGTATCCGTATACTATTTTGTATACATAGGTGGCTTTTTTCAAGACATATTTTTAGTCCCTTTCTATCATACGGTCTTTGGTCCATTGACAGTAAAACAATTCCCGCTTTTATCCCGGTAGACCAAGTTTGCCGAATACCTATTGAATTTATTGTTACTTGTTCTCGTCCTGGATATGCATGAAATATTTGCCCCGACGCTAATTAAGCAAACAACAATCAATTAATCATACAGTTATAACCGGTGTTTATGGTTGATGTCTATGTAGAAGTTTCAATTCAAGCAAGGTTTTTGCCAAGGGATTTACCCGTCATGAAAATGTCTTAAATCTACAAGCCTTTTTATCTCCGATCGTGCTTCGTGGCTTCTTGACAGATGAGTTTCCGTACTAAGTATCTATATTTGTAAATAAAACTACGTCCTATATACCATTCTACTAATGAAAACATGCAGATCTAACATAGAAAAAAGAATTACATTTAATTTTAAATAAGATTTAATTAGTAGTATTCGGCAAAAGTATGATCTTGCATGCAAGCTTTATGACTTTTTGTGGAGTTGCTGAAATCTTAAAGGAACCGCACTATCACTATTTATCCTAATATGCAACACACATATAATTGCTATTTACATTATGCACACAATCTTTTTATAACTACACTTTCTCAATTGCACATTTCCCAACCTCATACTATGATGAACATCTACAATATATACATAAAGAAGCCCATTGCTAATAGTGAACTTTTGATAACCTATGATATGACACACGGACTACTTGGTTTCTTGCTACCATTTGTAGTTTTGGGGTTTAATTTATCCGTTGCTACTTTCACCACAGTCTCAAAAACTTCCTTTAAACCAATACTATTAACAGCCGAACACTCAACGTATGTCTTTGCACCAACAGCCTTTGCAGTTTTAATACCGTCCTGAATCGAAATAGCCTTTTCATTTCTTGACTGAAGCTCATCTATTATCGATTGGTCCTCCCGTAAATCTGTTTTAGTTCCAACAAGAATGAATGAGGCTTTAGGAGATAAAATTCGTATTTCAGTGAGCCAGTTTTTCTTGACATTTTCTAGACTTAATGGGTCCGTCACACTAAAGCACACCATGAATACATTAGTCCCTACAGTAAATAACTCTCTCATCCGTCTGTACTCGTCCTAAAATAGAATTATACAATATAAGCTTCTTACAGCTAAGCCAGATTAATTATCTGTATTCTATATTAAGAATATTTAAGTACAATATATAAGTAGTAATGCACAGAAAAAAATAAATAAAAAGAGTTACTAGTAACTCCATCAATGTTGACAGTAGATGGGGTGGGGACTACCGATTACCAGGTAGATAGACAACAAACAGCCTCAGTCAAGAACATTAAACTTAATACGAATAAAAATGAAGACATCAAAAGCCTCTGTACTACGGATAAACACCAACAGTAAGTAAACAATAATGTATACTAATTCAGCGAAATGGACGCCACACTGAACTCCGAAACATATAAATGAACCAAAATTTTTAAAAAACACACACACAATAGGTTCCTGACCTGGGACAGGCGCAAACATGCGGCGGAGTGAAACATGTTTTGTGGGATCTCAACCCTTCCCCATTACCTCTAGCCAATGTGGAATAAACAAACACACAATACGCACAGTAAAACTCAGTTTGAAATAAGTCCAAGTCCGATGTTAGAATAGTTAACAGAAAAAACTAAGCAATATGACAATGATCAATATGATTTAACAAAGGACTACTAGCAGTTAAACTGATCGAAAGATATCGAAAGATTATGTTTTCATCATATAAAAATAATACACAATCCCTCCCGTTAGGTGTTTAGTATCACGCCATCATAAATTATAGTTTTTCTAGTATACCACCCCACCTCTTCTGAATTTTTAGATTTGTATTACTTTGGATCTTATTGCTAATCAAATGGTATGGGTCCGTTTCTGAGGACGTATGGTGACTTGTAGATGTTTAGATCTTCCCTTTCTCATCCTTTGATGGTCTTTCTATAGTTATACTCATCTTATTGTATAAACATTGTTTTATTTTCGGCCGTGGCCTTACAACACAAGTATAACAGAAGTAATTCTCGCCTTATATATACATACTTTTATTTTCGGCTGTGGCCTTACAACACTGATATACCGGCAGCAATACATTGATGTTGCTGTATATTCAATAAATTATGTTTTAAAACAAAAATCTGTCGATTAGAATTGATCGAAGTAAAACTGTTTTCATGATTAGCAAGGCTCGTTATTTGTTAAGAGTATTTTGTGAAAAGAACCGTTGGCAAATGATCAGATATAATAGGCATTGACCAAGTATCACTCGGAGACTGGTCTAATAAAATGTTATGAATAACCAGACAATCCAAAGTACTTGATTTTCAGTAAACAGTACCAGTTTTCTAGATCATGGAGGTATAAAATCATTCAAAAGTAATTAAACTACCACTCAAATGTATTTTATATCAATATATATTTGTTTATTTAAACATTGATTCAAAGAGTGTATATACTTAACCTACCAGACCAACTGTATCCGTAAGACCAAGTTTATATTGCTCTTCATCTACATCAACAACCACTGGCACTTCAAAAGAGTTACTGTTTCCAGCTGAAAAACATAGATATATATCACATCTGATCAATAACTTATCATACACCATTTTAATGACTCTCGTTTCCGATCGAGATATCGGATATAAAAATAATAAGATGTGGTATGATTGCCAATGAGACAACCCTCTACCAGTGACCAAATGACCTAGAAGTTAACAACTTTAGTTCACCATACGGCCTTCAACAATGAACAAAACTCATACCGCATAATATGCTATAAAAGGCCCCGAAATGACAAATGTAAAACAATTCAAACGAGAAAACCATCGGCCTGATTTAAGTACAAAGCAATACAAGAAAAACAAATATGATATACAGAAAACAACGACAACATAAATAATAAGATGTGGTATGAGTGCCAATGAGACAACTCTCTATCCAAGTCACAATGTATAAAAAGTTAACAATTATAGGTCAAAATACGGCCTTCAATACGGAGTCTTGGCTCACACCGAACAGCAAGCTATAAAGGGCCCCAAAATGACTAGTGTAAAACAATTCAAATAGGAAAACCAACGGTCTAATGGGACAGGCACATGCGTAATGTGGCTGGGTTAAACATGTTCATTTTTGCTGGCGCCAAATCCACCCCTAACCTTAAACAGTGGTGTAACAGTACGACAAAAGAACAAACACTCATTAGATCGATACAAAGAACATACAAATCCTAACAAAAACACAAAAGAAACAAAGTACAGATCTGAGAGTACTCGCAGTTACTGAGAGCAAGTTAAAAGCCAATAACAACTAATAGAAAAGCATGTGTCTAAGACTAAAATATCAATCAATGCACATGCAATGTTCAATTGATTAAGTGTAAAGACAACTTTAACAGTCAGAGAAGTTTACGACCTTGTGCAATGGCAAAATATAGTTATCGACAGATTCTAGAATCGTAAATAAAGTACATATTTGTAAAACAACTAATATTTAGTTTGGTTTTAATTTACTGATACTAAAAACAATATTTATATCGATAAAAGAATATTAAAAGATCTAATTACAGTGTTGAATTAGTAACCTTTTAGAATAAGCTTATACGAAGGATCGATAAGTTTACCCGGATCGTATCTAAATTTACGGGCTCGATAAATAACATCACTGTAATAATTAGGATGTGCTATCCCGTTTGAAATAAGTCTTCTACAGGTGCAGCAAAACTTCCGAACCAAATCTTTGTATGTATGGAAGAATTTAAGAAAAGTTTTAAGTAATTTGTGGTAAAGAAAACCTTGAATCAATAATTTACCAGCAATACATAGATTACGTTCATTGAAATCCAAAACGTCACTACAGACACGGGCATGTCGAACGAGTTGTGATACTAGTATATGAACACTGTAAGATGGTGTACACGGAGTACAATTTTGACACCAGCACTCAAATGAGCCTGTATGGACCCCCTGGTGTTTATGGAAAATATGGAATTGGTTTTCATTCGGGTTTTAAAGAGAATATGGTTCTATGATAGATGGAAAGGTAAAATATAGAAACCCCTTTGAAACTTCATAAAGAAAAAATAAGCAGATGTTCCCAACAGAGCATACACCTGATTAGTCTAGAACATAATCACCCATTAAATCAGTTAACACAAATATTTAGCAGAAAAATGTTTTGGAACCGAATGCAGAAGAAATGGACATCCACTACCCCTCCTCTGGTTCATTTAGAAAGTGGTCATCCATTAAATCAGTTAAAAACAAATATTAAGCAGAAAAAAGAGTTTTTGGAACAAAGTGCAGAAGAAATGAACACCCTACTCCCTCCGATAAAATGCTAATAAATTTTTAACTTTAATTTAATTTCATTACAAAAATGATCCTTATGCAGGAACGCAGGAAACCCTTAAAAAAAACATTCAGAAAGAAAAACCAGCTGTACTCAGCTTAACATGTAGTCCGTATGGTGAAAGCTCATTATAGATGAACCAGACGTCGTAAGACGTCCAGCTGCAACACATTCTCTTTCAAATAGGAAACTATACTGATGTCCTGATCCAACATAATGTTTTCCCTATCCAGATAGGTTTGCATACCTGTATCAGTAAGAGTCAAATAAAATCTGTTTTATGCAAGTGAGCAGATATACATCGTAGAAACGTATACAAACATCTGAGCTGTCGTTTTGACGGATGAAAATGACCGATTAAGTTGGTAAGCATTTCCCTAATCCTGGTCACAGCGCCTGCCATCCGACTGACCGGCCAAATAAGAATAAATTCACTTAATTATCGGCCCGAAAAAGAGAATGCATAGATGAAGATGTTAATCAGTATTGGAATTATATTGAATACTAGTATTAAAGATAACTACAATAAAAAAGCGGTATAATTTATAATACTGGTAAACGAAAATAGCTCTTTATAAAAAATTTTTGCGTCCGAAGCAAATTCGGCTGATGAATATATGTCAACTTTGACTTTATCTGTTATTGTTAAAAAAAAAAAGCACAAAGACTGCTGATTATATGTTAATCTACTGTTGTCATCAACCAACCACAGTAAGTTATATATTTCTTTCCCCAATTTTGGTAAAATATCGGCACAATGTCTGTAAAGAAGACTGCGACGGAGGTGAAAACTGATACTTTCATGAAATTCCATAGGTCCATAAATAAGTCAAGAGAAAGTCAATTAGAAAAAAATTCCATCAGCGCAACAAAAATTAGATATATTAAAAATAAACAAGCCATAAAACTACCCTTTTGCCTATTTTACATCTACGTTCTATTTCAAATAAGACCGGTCGTTCTGTCAGATTAATCGTCAAGAAGTTTAACGTCAGATAATACCCTCAGAATAATCAAGATCTCGTATGGTTTTAATTAGCCAAGTGGCTTAAGAAGTGGGCAAGTTGAGCGTGGACATGCTTAATCACCATGATAATGACAGCCAATAAGCGTCCACTAATTTCATAAATAACTGCTCGTAACATTTCAATTGGTTAAAATTAAGTCAAATTTTAAACATTTTATCTTTATACTTCATATAATTTCATTTTACTTAAATATCAGTGACGATCATGAAGCTATTAGAAGGTAACAACACGTACATCGGCCTTCCATATTCATATTTTTTTAAAATCTTTTCAACGGGTGTTTAGGTATATAGCGAGATAATAGTTCAATATCACATGAAATTCGGGAAGTCATTTCATTAAAAAGAAATTTTATGAAAGACATTTACAGATTAATATGGACTCCAGTTTGATCTGATTCATATTGTCTGTTTCGGTATTGAAACACGGGTAAAACCATTAATATAGGACAAACTGCTACAGTATAACTCAGGGGAAGACCATTTTAATTTTGAAGAACTGGAAATAAATAAAATTGCCAAGAGTAGAATGAAAATGAATTTTCTACCCCACAAAATGCAGGAAATAATTGTGTACAAAATCGAAAACAATTAAAAGCAACAGGTAAAAACTAATATACCGTCTCTATAAAAAAATATCCCCTTCCAGAAAATCAAATGGTCGTCCCTTTATGTTGACCTTACGAAAATACATTTCATAATTGAGAACTTATTTATTTATGTTAACAATAGAGTTTAAAGTATGTAGATACTTCACTTTTTGACATCTTGTATATGAAACTCTACCATTACTAAGTGTTTAAGTATGTCACTGATTGTTCTCATGACAGAAAAAAAAAATAGAAAAGATAATGTTGGACCGAGTAGATAATTTTATACATTTCCATTCCCATGACATTAAAGTTAAAAATAAAGGGTCATTTTTCTCAAATAATAAAACCAATTAAATAACTAACCTCTTATAGTCATATGTTCATACAGTTCAGGAACATCTCCCTCCGGAAACGCATTTGTAGCATAGGTCATCAACAAGCAAGTTTTGCCAACCCCGCTATCGCCGACTGCAGTCACTTTAATCTTTTTCGGCTGAGGTTCGCTTTCCTCTGCCATTACGGCAGGATTATATTGTAGTTTATCAATTCTTTCTAAGAAATATTCGTATCACTATCTCGATGTATTATCATAGAAAATCTAGTTATAATACTGAGGCTGTATTTCCGCAAATAATCTTGTAGCAACATCCGGCCACATGACTATGTAAATCTAACAGTTCACAATCGGTTATCCAGTAAACAATTTACAGTAATAATGTCTGGATATTATAAATAATTATGAAATTTTATAAATATTCCAAATGATACGTTTACTTTTTGTGTTCTCTATATCAAAGTAGAATCTCATTACGAACAAAATTAATGTTGAAATCTACAGCTTAAATGACGCATAGACAATTGGTGCATATACATTTAACGGAAATAAATCCTTAAACACTATTATTTTTTCATAAATAATAATATAATTACCGGGTAAATTCAGGATTGATAAATCTTATGTTAGAGGAAATTACACAAAAGGAGTCTCGACGATAAACCTCAAATTTAATGAGATTAAGTTAAGGAAAAAGGAAAACAATTGCGAAATTTGGTGTTTGCATGTTTACAACAATTCGTCTAACACTGTCGAATTCATTTACAAGTTCTGAGGAGGTGTAATTTAGATGTGGGATACACGTAGATAAGACAGCAAACCGAACGACATAGAAATACAAGATAACTACTGGCCAAATGACTTTGTTATGCTGCTGTCGGGTTTCTGTTCAATTGATCTTCATCTACTCTTTTTTTGTTCTAACCAAATTTATTATATACTTAGTAGTAAATACAGATAAATTGTATGTGTAATACAATCATTGGCAAGCGTGCTGTATCAGCCACCCGTGATTATATCGATATCAGCACGATTGCAAAGGCTTTATCACACCTTTAATCTGTATGAAGTCATGTCATCGATTGCAGTTACTGTTGCCAAGGCTTTATCAAACCCCTTATCTGTATGACGTCATGTCAAACCTATAATCTCTATGACGTCATTTCAAACCTCCTTATCAGTATGACGTCATGTCACATAAAAACATCTAGGGGAAGTATATGTATATAATAAAGTGTATATGATATGGCTTTTTCAATATCACACACCGTATCAACCCTCAACCAATATAATCCCTCGAGCAGAGCTCTTGGGATTATATTGGTGTCTCGGGTTGATACGGATGTGATATTGAAAAAGCCATATGATATTCTCTATATATTGCATTATTTTGTTGCATCTTATTCGTCGTGTATGCATTTTAGAAAGTCTTGTATTGCAAACCAAATGAGGTTTTCCACAGAGTCATCTCCTCTTAGTCAAGGTATTTAAACTTTTGTCTGTTCTATTGTCCCATTGAATAAATACAATAGCTATTGTTCTCTGAGTAGTTTATTCACTGTGACCTTTAAATTTCTTCTAAGAAAAATCCATCACTCATTGATTAATATACCTGAGTAAAAAAATTATCTTCTAAGTTGATGAAAATACATGCATTATTACTCACAGAACTGCATATGTTGTTGTATTTATTCAATATAAATAATATATTTTCAATCTGTTAAATGTAAACACTAATTCAAAGATTAAAAGTTGATTTCTGGCAAAATTTTCAACATTGTATCTATTGAAATTTGTCTTTTTGTGTGTTTGACAAGAAAATGACGATGTTTAAATTAAGGCCTTCTTAAATGTATTCTATAATTAAACAAACACAAAAAAAAATGCAAATTTTAATAGGAACAATCATAAAATTTTTGTCAGAAATCAGTGTTATATTGAACAAACTGAAAATATGTTATTTATATTGAATAAATACAACATCACATGCAGTTCTGTGAATAATAATACATGTTTGTATTTTCATCAACTTAGATCATTATTTTACTCAGGTAAATTAATCAATGAGTGATGGATTCTCTTTAAAGAAGAAATTTAAAGGTCCCAGTGAATAAACTACACAGAGAACAATAGCTATTGTATTTATTCAATGGGACAATAGAACAGGCAAATATTTAAAATACCTTGACTAAGAGGAGATGACTCTGTGGAAAACTTTCATTTTGTTCGAAATAACATCAATGAGTTATTACGGAATAACCCATCTATTTACAGTGGGCTGTTGTTTGAACTGCAGTTCTTCTGTGAAGAGCTGAACCGTGACACATTTATGTGAACGAAGCCTTGAACAATCTATATATTCCCGCGCTCCGTTCGTATGGCCATTTATTCTGTTCTTGACCATTATAACGATAGCAAAAATCTTTTTGGAGGTAATAAACTTAAAATTAGAATATACTGTGTTAAGAAAAAAAACCCATAAGAAGATTATCTCAAGTGGTGTACATATAACCAGTAAATTTCGCATTAGTGCAAATTATTTGGAAATAGAAAGGGAAGATTTAAAAATATACCAGCGGATCAAAGAATTTGTAATTTGCGCACTTTGGTAGACGAGATTCATTTCCTTTTAGAATTTCCAAAAACCGTGGCAAGTAAGATCAGATGTGACATTCTAAACCAAATTGAAAAAAAAATTCCAAATGCAGCCGCCTATCAAATAGCAATTCCAAATGCAGTTTACAAAATTTAAACTGTCGAAGGTCACCTGTTGTACCGAAATATTTGTCAATTCGATATTATTTCATCTTGTTAGTATATTATTTTATCTTGTTCGTATATATTATTATTTTGTTCGTATATTATTGTGTTTTCTCAGTATCGTCAACTATATGCGATCCAATCGTGACCTATTAAATTTGCTGGTTGGTTGTTTTTACATCGCGATGACCGTGAGGGCATTCCGATGTCACGGTACTGTTGCCACCGAGATTTCTACTTACGTAACTTTCGTTTTTGACGGGTAACCGATCTATAAATACGCGGACATTATCGAGTGCAAAATAACATTCCTTATCGCTTGTTATATATTCATTTCTTCAATGAATACTCATCAAAATATTTTTTAGAACATAAATTAATAAAATGAAAATATTTTGTCGTTAGAAATATATATATATAAGTAAAAAATCATTAATATCTATGCACACGTACAGAAAGATTGTGTTAACGCATGCAGAAGAATATCTCAAGAACGTTTTGCGGGAAAATATGAATGCCTACTCAAATCTAATCTATTAGAAAAATCGAATTACTACAGAAGAGTGTCCACCATGCACTTGCACTGCACTATTATTAGAATAGTAGAAAAGAATGATATACAAATGGATTAAAATTGTATATACATGGAACTGTTAAATACAAATATTAATATACATGATATAGAACAACAAACCCGGCAGAGTATACTGATTTGTATCACTACAATATAATAGTTATTACGGTGAGGTTGAATTCCCTGTCATTTATTCATCACCCACGCACGAACTTGTCTCAGAAAAAAGTATATCTCTGTATATTAACCTCACTTTCAGGTACAGAGATGTGATTTTTTTTTCTGAGACAAGTGCTTGTGACCATCCACAAGAACTTGCGGTCATCAGATGTTCAGTACTTCAGTACTTTGATTTATAGACTCTGATGTATGTGAAAAAAATTAGATATATAACTAGGTACACAATTTGGTAGTGACCTAATACTATATATATGGAGTCAGTAAATTCCGGTAAACGGACAGAATGTCACAAGACAAAAAGTCACAAATTTGATAGGACAAAAAGTCACATATAATTTGTTTATAATTGTTTGAACATATAAGAGAAAGATCTTGAAACTATTACTTTTTATTACATATATTCATTTCACAGTTAGGGAAATTGTTAATAAGCCTTGATAAATGAAAATGTATCAAATTTAAATCATGCAAAGAATATATTTCTTGACACCGTTAAGCCATTTAAGTACCAAGCTACTTTGACAAATTGTTTTCTTAACAATTATTTGATCATTATTTATTATTTAGAATACATTTTGTTAACAAAGTTGCTGTATATATAAAAGTTCAAGAAAAATACAAAAATGTTTTTAAAAATAAGCGTTTTCTTATTCAATGAAAAACCTCGAAACTGTCTGAATTGTGACTTTTTGTCCTGTGACTTTCTTTCCTACATTCTAAATTCCATATGGGGTGAGAGCTCCCCCCCCCCCCCTGGATCCGCCTATGTTAACTTTCAGCACGCTTGTCTAAATCGCGGCGGAATTATTGGAGGAAGCCTAAGTATCCCGGCGGAAAATACTACAGACCTTCGGCAGGAAATCTGGCATTCCTAGTCAATTAAGATAAGGAGTCGAATGATTGGCTAAACATTTTACGTTTCAAAATGACAGCAGACAATCAGAATAAAAAGGACTTCAATTTTGTCTGGTGTAGGAGTTGAATCATTTACAAATCAAATACTACCAAAACAATAAGAAAAAAAAGTTTAAAGAACATGCTGTTCCTGCGTATAGATCGCATATACCTTTCCCAACAGTTATTAGAAACACAGGAATAATTTCGACCTGCTATAGACAACATTTCAATATATATTCTGAACATAGAAACGTAAAGTATCCATATAATGCTATTTGCAGCTGGTTGTATTTTTGGCAACTGTAAAAGCCTCAATCGATAGCCGTTACCGTGACAATGTACATCGTATGCAGTTTTTAAAACATGATAAAATAGTTTCATTGGCGTTAAAAGGGTAAATTATGGACATATAAAAAAGGATGCAGTTTTGAAACTTGATAACTTAGGGTAATTTGATGTAACGTCGTTTTCAATTGGCCTTGTGTTTTAGGGAAAGGAAAACTAATGCACAAGTGAAATGTCTTATATGAAAACAAGATGACATGGTTTCGTTGACAATGAGACAACTATCCATAACTTGCCTGATTTACTGATTGTTTACATTTTATGTTGAGTCCTTAAGATCAAAGTCTAATTACATGTACAATTATTACATAACATTATAAATGTTCCATGAAAATGAGGTCAGGTTCAAATGAACATGGTCAAACAGACATGTAAACCTTAAATTAATTGTGTGCATCGAAATATTTTAAACTATTTCTTACAGAATCGGAGAAACTGACCAAATCCCATCTGTATAAAAGATATGGATTATACTGCTCTTCTGTTTTTTGAAGTATCAAACGTTTAACAAACAGTTAATGAAGTTGCAGCGGTAATAGGATTTGCACTCCTATGTCACAAACTGAGGCAAGAGAAAAATGTTTCTCTTATGGGTTGTTCTCGTTTAAATACCTTTTTAGAAATAGAAAAGTTAGCCACATTCCCAAATTGCCCTGATAAACCTTACATAATAATTCTAACAGCTAGAGAAGAGAAAGTAACTTCAACCTGAAAATAACTGAAATGTCTATCACCAAATTTAAAGGTTCAAAGACAGTAATTAAGTACATTTTGATATCAAGTGAAATTTGTCTTCTGAAGCAGACTTGCATACAAGGTTAATTTTAAGCTACAAGGATTTACAAGTTTATATAACTTTTTCATAAAGTAATACATTTACTGGAATTGATTCCTTGTGTTATTTGTTTCCATCCTTCAAATGATTCAATTATTTTTGAATGGACATTAAGCAAACATCAATCAAACCAATCATGTTTTATACATCTCTTTTTATATAACATCCTAATCACAATGTGGTGCGAAAAAGAAAGCATATGAAATGGATGTGCAAAATCTGATGAAAGTACAAGAAAAACAAAATACTGTAAATTCAGAAATTATTGCGTGCATTTATTATTGCGATTTTGTCATTTTAGACCAAAATGCGATTTTAATTTTTGCGATATTGAGAAAAATCCTATTCAATTCATATAACAAATTTCAAAATGCGAGTTTAAATTATTGCGATTATAACCCTGTCGCATTTTTCACAATAATAAAAACATCGCAATAATTTCTGAATTTACAGTATCAAAGAAATTGGTTTGCATTGCTGTTCTTAATCTTGATAGTTGCTTGAAGCTCTTAAACAAGATAAAAATGTTACGCTTTGCAGCAAAGTCAGGACTATTTTTATTATTGACTCCACTTATCTACTTTACTATGTTATATTAGTAAGTATGTAAAATCTCTGAAATTTCAGGAGTTTTGTATAATAAAAAAATCGATAAGGGAATTCATAAAATCCATGATTTTGACTAGGTAATTTACAATTCACTGGTTTTAATTCAGGGAATTTAGAAAGAAAATAACAGGTTGATTTTAATTAACACTTTGGATGCTGGTTATCTGAACTTGCTATTCCAACATTTTATTCAACACTAATTCTCTAGACAATATACAGGCCAAAAGAAAAAGATGGACAATACCAGGCCAAAAGAAAAATCCAATGATGAGTCATTTCCTGTTTCAGTCAAAATCAGAAGAAGAATGTGAACCACTATACTGCTATTCGCGAAACACTCACTTAATCCTGCCATTCATCATGATGACTGCAGTTCGAAAATACACCAGATGGTGGACTGAACTGCAAATGGAATAAGAAGAAGAAGACTGTTAACATTTTAATCTTCTCTAAAACCACTTTGCAGATTTGAACATTTATTGGAACTATTTTGGTCCATGTATCTTCTCCCTTTCCTCCTTCTTTGTCTTTACTTTTATATTATTTTTGGGGGTTGGAATTGCTTCATCTATTTAGTTCTTTTTCTTTTGGCCTGGTATTGTCCATCTTTTTCTTTTGGCCTGGTATTGTCCATCTTTTTTCTTTTGGCCTGTGTATTGTCCATCTTTTTCTTTGGCCTGTGTATTGTCCATCTTTTTATTTTCTTATGATTTTTGATTGCCCTTGGTATCTTCTCAATCTCATTCCTTTTTTATAATCTTGCTTTTTAACATTAAAGAGTCACTGAATGCAATATGAAAACAAGCAGCCTTTAAATCTCTATAGTGGCCCATACTAAAAAGCAGTCATTATCAGTCGTGTACATTTAATTTTTTGAACACTTTATTTCTAATTTCTTCAACAATATTTTAGTCACCCTAATCAAGCCCATTCATACTTCACTGTATTACATTTGCATTCGTCACATTTTTTCAAGTTTTAATCACAGACAAGATTATTACAATCTCAAATAACATGTACCACAACAGAACAGAATAATCCTCACACCATTAGCATTTAGTGCATATATATACACAAGACGTTACAAATTATATCTCTGTTTGTTTTCAACTCATTTAAGCATGTATGTCTCAATATAAACTTACCATTAGGGAAAATCTTCCATCATCAAACAGAGTACTACAAAACTGTAGATTTATGTCTCCCACTAGAGCCCATAATACTTAGCTTGCAGCAATTTAGTTATTAATTTAACAGGAAAACTTTCTTCCATCCTAAAACTCCTTATAAATTGAACCTGATCATTATTATTGAACTACTCTGCCAGTTCTTAAAAAAAATCTTTATATTTCCCATTTATTAAAATTGATTGTAACCATGTTGGTTTGTCAATTTATTGTCCTCAAGAAAGAGTCATACATGGATTCATTATAAAAGTTTCAATTTGTTCAGCCTTTGAAGCTACAGACCATTGTATGTTTTACCATGGTAGCCAGAATACTTATTTGGTTTATATCAAACTTACAACAGACTGATGTTACAGTCCCAAGAAAATTTTAAATATTGTTAATGCATAATAAACACAAAGTGAAGGCTCAAAAACAAAAAAAAACATAGAAAGGAATACAAGAAAACATGATATCACAGTAATTTACTTTTGAAAGTGTAGCATAAATTACCTCCTACAATGAAAGAGAATAAAAGGACTTTGTACCTTTGATTTTAATTTTTTTTTTAATTGTTATTTTTTTTGTAGTTTGTTTACATTCACTTTAATTACACACTAAACTAATTCCATCTTTTTATATAACTTTCAGATTTACGGAAATTCAAATAATTATAGATCAAAATATGTTGATCATAAAATTATCCACTATGATGCAGGCTCATTCTCAGGTGATTCCACTTTAAGACTATCATATAACACAGTTTTAACTGCAGACAGTACATGTATTGATGACAAGAGTTTAACTGATGTCTCCTCATAGCCCTGGTCCTGCAGAAGTTTGACAAGACTGTCCCATTGTTCTGCTGTTGTATCCACATCATCCATCATGGCTGAATGAAATAAACTACTGTTCTGATCATCTGTAATGGATAAAAGTTTTTCATTTTGATTACAACGGAAGTATAGAAGTTTTTTTTTTATTTTGTCTTCAAAGAATTATGTTAGCTTGAAAGCTTCTAGGTATACAAATACAGCAACTAACAAAAATGGTGTACCATTAATTCAATGTAAAAAAACTTTTTATATTGAATTTTAGTAAATTCAGGAGTTTACAGCAATGGGATACATTATTGTATTAACATAAAGGACCCTCAAAATTGTACAAAAATACATATGTGAGATTATTTATTGTATTATGCAAAATATGTTTTTGACTACATGCATAAAATGAAAACAACACATTATAAATTTTATGTGTCTGAAGCGCTTTTCTGGATTTGCCTACATCAAGAATGCTCAAAGCCGAAGATTTGAAAGCCAAAGATATAAGAACCAAAGCAGTTGAAGAACTATATGACCAAAAAGGACATAAAAAAATAGCCAAATCCATCCATGGTCAACTTTGCCTAAGGGAATTGAAACCTCAGTTTCTTTATAATTTCAAAATTTATAAACAGACAATTTTAGAAAGGTTTGTTATAAATCATGTCAGTTCTGAAGAACTGACTACTGAGCTGATGATACCCTCTGGACTGAGGTTAATTCTCTACATGTGTACATTGAGGCTTAATTTTCAGTAAAATTGGACATATCTGAAGAGCACAAGATTCAAATGGGGCTTTACTAACCTAATTGTTTTTAAAAATTGAACTTTTCATAAGACAATACCATTTGTGTCTATTCATAATAAACGGTGAGATAATACACAGAGTGCACACGCTGAAATGTCTCGCCTTCTTTACTGACCATTGATTTTATGTTGATAGTCCTAAATATAATAACACCTTACAATCATTCCATACACCAAATATAGTAGACCTATTGCTTATAGTATCTGAGGTATGGACTTCACCACCAAAACTTAACCTTGTTCACTGATCCATGAAATGAGGTCAAGTGAAAACTGTCTGACAGATATAGTTATGATATTACTCATAATAAGAGGGAAAATTAGAATACTAAAAATCTTGACTTTTTTTTCAAGTAGTCACTGAACCATGAAGATGAGGTCAAGGACAATGGACATATGACAGACGGAAACTTCATAACATAAGGCATCTATATACAAAGTATAAAGGATGCAGGTCTTCTTCCTTCTTAAATATTAAGCTTAAAAAAAGTTTGTTAATATGGCCATGGCCGCCACGGCAATGGCCGCCGCGGCCTTAAAGCTATGTATAACGATCAACAATACAAACCTGCAGATGGAGTATTCTGTAAGTCCTGCATGAATCTTATGACAAGGTCAAAATGACTATTTTCTAAGAGCACCAAAATCACTACACCAAGTGGCAAAATCCGTGTTCCTTCACCATCCTCTTCAACTAAAGAATGCATTAATGGTAACGATGGACATGTTCTCAGCAGTTCTAAATATTCTTGTTTTGACAATGGATATTTGTGTTTGGCGTATTCCATTCCAGTATGGACACGTCCCTGTTTTAGCATACAGATTACAGCCTGTCTGTATAGGTGTAGTTTACTGTAGACGTTCTGAGCTAAGGCTTGACAACTACACTTACATGGAACCTGACAATTACAATGGTCAACAATTCTATCACCAATCTGATGATTCAGTGATAACCTATAAAAGAAATACATCATAAGGCTCTTTACTATAAAGATTAGGGAGGTACAAACTGTTTAATAAAGAAGTATTTTCCAAAGTATGTAGGGAATTGATAGCTTGACCATTGACTAAGCTTTTAGCTATTACAAGCAGGCTACACAGCATATCATTATGCAAGTAAAGTTGAAATCATCAGTATTAAAATTTAATAGTTGCCAATACATTGTAGTTAACTTTTAGAGAATTTTTGTCACATATGACTACATTTGACATACTAGTGGTACAGACCTTATTTTCCAAATTTTATACTTTTTACGGTAAGAGATTGTTTCTTTTAATAGAAGAAAGTTCATTTGATAACTTGATATAGAGCTTATGTCAAACAATCACAACTTGTTAGCTGCTTTGTCAGCTGGCACATGTTGAATATTTATCAGCTTCCAAGACCAAATGTTTTAGACACAGTCACATATTTGTAATATCTTAGATTATTCCAGGAACATACCACACAAATCCTCAGGATATTTATTTATCATTTTATGTTGCTACAGCAATACAAATTGTATATTTGTTAGCCATTTTTAAAATACCATCTGAATAATCAAGTCTTGCTCTGATCTTTCAAAGGCAACGAGTAAAAACAAAGAAAATTTAACATAACAGAGGAAGATAACGCTAAAACAGAGATGGTCAAACAAGGAGAACCCAAGCAGATAACGATAGTTACAGAAACCAGGAATTAATAAAGAAGACTATAAGCTAAGGTTGGATAAATTTGTCAGAGAAGTAGGACAAATGGAAGACACTTATTTTACACATTTGTCCTGCTTCTTCTACAAATTTAATAAATATGGACAGTTTCTGCTTGTTGGACCTCTGACCAGGAAAACACTGATTCACATCCATAACATTGTACTATGTGTGTTCCAAGTCATGAGCCTATGTTAATGGCTGTTATTAGTTTTTTACCGAAAGTATACTAGAACAACAAAGGATATGGGGTATCCATCCATGACACAAAACCAATACATGCACAGCAATAGCAACAACAAAACACACAATAAGCAAAGGAACAGCCGCTTTTATTGCTGTTCTTCATCTCAAAATCACAGTGAGGTCTTCCACACGGAGCTAAAAAAAACTCTCACCTCACTGCAAGTTTAAGACGGCCCCTAGCACTGGCTTGAGCGGAATTCTTTGCAAAAATAATTTGGATAGAATTTGTAAGACGTAACACCACCCAATCGGGCCCGGTCCAAAAAGAACATACTGGAAAGTAGTACATATTTAAAACAAAATAGTTCCTACGCATAGTTGTAAATCTTAAACTATGTAGCATATATTTTAGTAATAAAGGTATCAGATGAAAGGTGAAGGACTGGTGATCCTTGTTGAACACACGATTTACTGATAATTTTGAATAATACAAAAATTATGAATGAATTCTAAAAATGAGGGTATATATAGCCTGTTTCTCAGATACACTACAGCTCGGGTGGATTTTGCTTTGTCCACCGGCCCACCATGGGAGTGGGCACCAGGTGGGCAAAATTTGTACCTTGTCCACTCTGCCCACCTGTAGGAGTGGGCATTCAATTTCTTTTGTTTCATCTAAAGACTTGCAAGTACAATCACTTGAAAAAAGCAGATAAGCATTTGTAATCAATATTTTTACAAAAAAGAGATTATAGCTAGAGTGGGCACGGGTGGACTGCCCACGGTGGGCCGGTGGAAAAAGCAAAATCCACACGGGCTGTTGTGTATGAAGTGCCTGGTTTGGTGTATCCAAAACTCCGGTAACCAGTGCAGTACGGTCTGATGTATAATTACAAGTATATTGCATATATTTAGGTCTTTGAACTACTTGTTAAAATGATTTATAATAAATTTTCAACAATATAAAAATTACCATATGGTATAAGCCCTGTTTATCGTTGAAGGCAACACAGTTTTTTATTACTTAAGTGCTGGGTAATTTATTTATTTCTTTTCTATTTTCATACATACCTATCTTGTGCTATCCAATGAGCTAATAGATCTAATCTGTTTTCATTTAACACACATTCTACACATTCATCTGACAATTTATGGTTTGGCTTACTTCCTACAGCACTCACAGATGCCATAACGGCATCACAGAAAGCAAGAAGTGGACTTCTGACATTTCCATGGACTTTTACATCTGTTTAAAAGAGAAAATGTATCGCATGCATTAGGGTGAAACACATGCTATAATCAATGGGTCTATCAAAAGTTTTTTTTTCTTTCAAAAAACAATTCCTACCAAATTTCCCATAGGATTTATTCTTCAGTTCTCAGAGCTCTTATTACTCTAAATTTTGACAAGATCTTCGTAAATAACACAGTGTTTTATCACAAAATAATCAATCAATCAATGCAAAGACATACCTTTACACTCTATAATTAATGTATTATAATAAACCTCATTCTGGGATAAAAGAATAAAGAATACTTCAAACTATATTCTGAAAAATCAATGTGTTAGTTGTGACAAAATCTCTTATCATCATAAAACAATTGGTGATTGACTTTCTTCCATTTTCTGATATAAGATATCTCTTATTATTAGTTTACCAATATCAAGTGCTTCAAAGGTTTGTAATAAATTTAAGTCACAACATTTTATATAATGTAAGTATTTCCAAGTGGTACAATATTGCTTCAAGGTTAATTTAGTATAAAAACAAGAAGATGTGGTATGATTGCCAATGAGACAACACTTAGGTTCTTTTGTAAAACAAGAGTGCACTCGCTGAAATGTCTAGTCTGCTTTACTGACCATTGATTTGATGTTGAAAGTCTTAAAGATAAAGTTTTTACCACGAGTATCACATAAGCTTAGCCTTTTTAAAGAATCCATGACAATGAGGTCAGATAAATGCTGTCAGACAGACATGGACACCTTACAGTTATTCCTTACAGCAAATACAGTTGACCTATTGCTTATGGTATTTGAAAAACAGACCAAAACAAAAAAACTTAACATTGACCAAGAAACTATGAAAATGAGGTCAAGGTAAGATGAAACATGCAAGACTGAAATGTACCCTTTACAATCATTCAATACAGCACATATAGTTGACCTGCTACTTATAGTATCTGAGGAACAGACTAATCAGGTAACTTTAACCTTGATCACTGATCCATGAAATGAGGTTGAGGTCAGGTAAATCATGTCTGACAGACATGTAGACATTGCAAGGAACTCATATACCAAATATAGTTATCCTATTACTCCGATAACTCAGATAATTAGTGAGGAATTTACATGACAAAAAAACTATAATATTTTTCAACCAGTCGCTAAACCATGAAAATGAGGTCAAGGACAATGGACATATGACAGACAGAAACTTTGTAACATGAGGTATCTGCATATAATGTATGTAGCATCAGGTCTTCTAGCTTCTGTAATATAAAGCTTTATTCAAATAGTTTACATCGCCGCTGCCAGATAATAATCACTTTGCCTCGCATACTGCAACTTTCGTCTTAAGCGAGACAAAAATGATCATGTTCTTATCATTTAAATAGTATTTGGTATACATGAACAAATCACATCCAGATGTTTTTAATTGGTTTGCTTATAAATTAACAGTTGACACAGTGATATGTCTTAATTGCCTGTTGGCAAAAAATTCAGAAAAAGACAATCTGATGGACAGCAACATTGCTAATTAATTCAAAGTCGCTGGAGCATGAACTAGTGGGAAGGGCCTCGTAATGGTCAACAAACTAAGATGTACAGACTTTAATGTGACTTTATAGAAAATATCAATGTCTATTGTAAGTGGTTCTAGAAAACTTAACATTGTTGATGCCAATGATGACGACAATGTCTCCCCCTCCGCAAAATTTGTTGCAGGCGAGACAAAAAACCAGCTTCAGATCTGGACAATTGTTCAACCCAAGTCCAAGAAAATTTAAACGAAATGCAAACTGGATCTGTGTCTCATCATTATATAACTGTACACTAATCGGTACCATAAATAAGCTCCAGATCTGAAGACATCACAAAGGAAAGTCTGGACAGGTAAAATTTTCATGAAACTCTATACTTTCAAGGAACTTGAAAAGTTTAACAGCAGGGACTAAATACAAACTGTATTTGTATGTCATAATACACATATACAAAAAGTATAGATCAATATCTGCAGGCTTAAAAGAAATAGGAACAAGTATAGAGAAGGACATACATGAGTTACACTCTATGCCAGCTGGCCACCTAGTGGTGGGGCCAAAAAAATAAAACATCATACATTTTCAAACCTCTAATTTTGGAGCTATGTAACCTCATTTGTTTTTTTCAACAAGGAGATTTTTATAGTATTCACATGGTTTTCACATCTAATTTTATTTTTTGCAATTCTTGTTAAAAATTTGTTTACAATCATTGAACTTTTAATGAAATCAAACATTTTTGACACTCTATATTGTGAAAGCAATAATATTTTCAAATTTTACAGGAATTACAGCTACTTATACATGTAATGAAATAATGCTCAAAGAGGGAGAATTTGAAAATGTTCTCTTCAAATTTGGAAAGTTAACCTCCCTTTTTTGAGACTGGTCTACAGACTAAGACTTCCATTTTTTTATTTTAGCCATATATATCTTAGAATTGACACAGGATACAATTAATACCACTCTAATAATAGATCATTCAAGGTAATATTCTGCTCTTGATAAAAAATCATCTAAGATGCTAAACATATAATTTGGTTGGCAGACGCACCTTTCAGCAGTGGTGTTTGAATAAAAAAAATCAGTTTATTTCGGCACATTAAAAGTTGAAGAGCATGGAAGGCAGTGAAGACAAAAAATTAAAAAAGTTGTCCCTAACCTGGCTATGGCCATCTATGCCGAATGGTAGAAAAGTTAGTGTTTAGAATAATCTAACATTTTATACACAGGTTACAGGTCTAAGTTTTGACAGAAATTACCTTATGATAAAATTAAATGATTATGCACTATCTTGTATTTCAATGTGTTCCATTCAGTTTATTAAATTTGGATCAATACTCTGTTTAAATACAAAATTTAATTGAAATACTATGTCAACAAAAAGTAAATCTAGACCATAAACACATGCATAACAAAAACCTTTTTTTTATCTCTATTTTTAGGAAGCGGAAATAATGTCCTGAAGTAATTTATTGCTTTCTATCAAGAGTCCTCAAGTAAGTTATTGCTTTCAATCAAGATTCTTAATATTTCCTTAAAACTGTTTTGTATGTAACAATGTTCAAATATAAGTAATAATATATGAAAACCCTTATGCACAAATCAATATACCTTTTTTTTTTTACAAAGTGTTGCTATTTTTGTATTGAAGTGCATGTATTTTGTACAAATAAATCAACAATTCATAACATACTTACAAGAAAAACTAACAGGACAGCAAACAATAAAATAACTATTGTAAAAGGTAATTATCTGAATACAAATGCCCCTTTATTTCTAACCTGAATAATTGATGCTAAATTCAGAGTGATCAATATCCTTCTTAGTAATTATATTCTTTCTCTTTATTAAAAACAATAATGTCCTGAACATAACATGTTTTAATTTGTTGTTCATAGAAACATGAACGTTTATTCCTGCCTAAAATAAACCTTTAAATGATTTGGTAAATTAGTATAATGGCTTTTCACCTGTTATGTTGTTTAAATTTACTGTCCGAGGGGTAATTATGTACAAGACACTCCGAAAATTCCCTTTAAAGATTCCAAACAACATTTAACAAGCTAACATTAATCTCTATTGATTTAGGAAGTTGGTGCATAAAGCTTGCATTGTTTATCGATCCAGTATTTTAAATACCTTAACTAAAACTTGTATAAAAAGTCATAATATTACCCTCTATTAAACAGTATAATATTCAAATACATGTATGTCAAATTTGTAAACTTAAAATGAATTACATAGTTTGCTTATATGTTTTTATCTTTTTCTACAAGTTTTCAGTTATCCATTACCACAACAGTTAAAAAAAAATAATTTAGGTATACATCATGAAATATTTTATAGCGAACTAATTCTTAAAGTTCTAACTGTGGATGACTGAAATGATATTCACTTACCAGTGAAGCAGTAATTAAAAGCAGTAAAATAGGGATCCACAAATATTTCAATGAAAATTTCACATGTATAAGTTCCAAAGTTTACAACATATTGTAACTAGAATGAATTGTCATCCAAGCTTTGAACCTCGACCTTTACCACCAATAATTAAAGCTAGCAATCAATCCAATTCTATTATCAATGTAACAATTTGTTTATACTTGTAAAGTTCTATGACACATTATTGATTTAAACTACCTCATTTAAATACATAACATTAAAGGTAGAGTTAAATCAGGATATCAAAAAGCTGAATATGTATACTTAATCTATGTGTAGTTTAATTGTAAAATGAAGATGTACCATTTTCTTGTAATCTGGAGCAATATACCATACCATAATTAAGAATTGTCTAATTCTTGTCCAACTTAATTACCATTCCTAATTTATCAAAGGCATCGACCCTGTAAGGCCCCTTTTTGGCCCCAAAATATAGCATTTTTACAAATTTGTTCAAAATGTAAACTTTTAGCTCTTATTGAAAAGTAGAATACTTTTGTTACATAAATATGGGCTGTTTTTGACAATGTGATGCACTGCATCATTAATTCATGCGAAATAACTGAAATCTTCACAATTTTAGCATTTGTGTTAATTTATAGACGGTTTTGTCTAAAATGGAAGTGGCTGCTTTGTGTTTAGTCTTAATATTTATATATATATGTTGTATTTGATGATAATACATAACATATATGAAGGTTGAGACTGAACACGAATGCGGCCACTTACATTTTAGACAAAAACCATCTGAAAAGTGACGTTTTATGGCATACTTGATAGATTTTACATATTTGAGCTTGAATTTTAGTGTCTTTAATGACCAAATCAGTTCAAATCTTTTACATAAACTAATTGAATTGACCGAAGTACACACTTTAGTGTTTAAAAAATGTCAAAAAATTTTCATCAGATGTACTTTAAATTTTAGGCTAAAATTAGCCCTTACGGGACCTTCTCCTTTCTTTTTCTAGTCCCAAATACTTTACCCAATATAGATTAAAAAAAAAGTTTTAAATTTCAGTAAATGAAGCACCTAAGATTCCCTGCCCTCAAAGTAAATAGAATTATAATGCCAGCAAAATAACAGTGGTTGCAGTTATCTTTTATATACACCATCTTTATCTAATGACCTACTGCCATATTCTGGAATTCAAAATTTGGCTTATTAATCACTAGTGTTATTCAGAAACTAGAATGGTGCAAAAAAGAATTTAATCTGGTTTAAACAATTCATAAGTTAAAAAGATTTTGCCATGGTATACTCCAAAAAATATTGAAGTAGAAAATTTTTTTTGTACTGAACCAAGGGTATAAAATAGCCTTCTATAACTAATGCTGTAGCTAAGTTACAAATTGCTCACAAACATGTTTAACCCTGTCACATTCTTTCCATGGTTTAATGTTGATGTGATCACAATTTCATCTTGCTTCACTTTTGTTGTTTTTCTAATAACTGTTACCTGTGTTTTAAACTTAAAAGTACATGACGTCATAATGAATTACTTTCAATTCAAATTTTAAAAGACAATAATGATAGATCAATCAGTATAATAAATTAAATAACACATAGCTGAAAGGGTGATAGAGCAGATTGTTCCCCTCGAAATATATTGTCAACCTTGGCTTTGCCTCGTTTGACAATGTTTTCTTGTGGGTAACAATCTGCTCAATCACCCTCTCAGCTATGTATTATTCATATACTGTTCCTTTTATATAGAAGGCGGGCATAAAAAATAAGAAAATGGGCACCATTCCTCACTCACACTTTCATCATTTCATGTTCAGTGATCCAGGAAATCTTAGTCAAATAGCCCTACTTTGGCATAATTTTAGAACGTTGACTTCATAATGAACATGTGAACTATGTTTCAATTGATAACACCTTCATGGTTAAAACCAAAACTTTAACCTGATATGGGATGAACAAACAGATGCACTAACGGATTGAAGCAAAAGCCAGAAAATATAATCCCCAAAATACTATCATAGGCAAGACATAAATACAAAAGATAAATTGAGATCAACATACCCATTGATTCTAACAAAGCTATTGTAGACATAGAAACTGTTTGTCATGAATATGGGCCAAGTACTAACATTATTATTCCCAAACTTTCATGCACACTATTGTAATGTAATGTAACGCTATTGTTGTGTAGCTACAAATCATAAGAAAATTGAAGGATTTTAACTGGAGATGTTTTTTCTTTAACAAGTCTAACAAGGTTAATAATCCTCAAGATACTTGTTAATTTGTAGGATCTCCACTATATCTGAAAATTCCTAAACTTAGTTAAATTATCAGAAATCCTAAGAGAATAATTACCCCTGAATTTTGCCAATGTGGCAGATGTCCTAAGTATCCCTTTTGGACTGTTAGCTGCATGGATAGCAGCATCTTCGTACATCCCATCCTCAAACAATTCGTTAAATTTCTCTATGTATTCTAACATCATCTCAGCCTCTTTTTCCTTACTTGGATCATCATCATCAAACGATGTTGTGGTAAGTGTTTGTGGAGCTGATGGTGAACCATCCCGTTGTTGTTGTCCTTCGCCTGGGGATAATTCTGTTTAAAATGAAAAAAGATACAGTCACAGTTCCAGTGTTTTTGGGACCTGAGAATGGAATATCATGAAATACCATAGTCACAATATCATAAATCTGACCACTGAACCATGAAATTGAGGTCAAAACATGCACATGACATGCATCTTGTGTGTAAAATTTGATGAAATTTGATGTTTTAAGATTTACACATTATATAGAACCTAACAACTCTAGAATAACTCATCTCAAAATGATCATGCTGATAAATAAAAAAAAAAGGAATAATTAGATGAACTAGAATTAGGTGATTTAGTGATCACAGATACACCCGCATGCAAAAAAATTCACTAAGGGTAAATGCCAAAATTGAAAGTGACTTATATTGTATGTTTCAAAAAAAATGTATTAAATTCTAAAATAATATTGTCAAACTGAACTTGCATCATCACTTGGAAACCAATAAAATCAAAATGTTAATGTAACTAAGGAACTAAGGGAAATAAATCTTGAACAATAAATGTCAAAATCCTTAAAATGGATCTTGAATTGGATTCATAATTATAATCCATGACATTGTGTTCAAATTTGAAAAAAGATTTAGTCAAGTGGTACTTAACTTATCATTCAAAAATAAATGAAATACCAATTTCTAAGCTAACTAAGGGTCATTACTCTTGAACAGTAAATGTAAAAACCATCAAATTCGAACTTGACTTGTATTTTGTAGTCCATGACATTGTATTAAAATTTCAAAAAATTTGGATCAAATTTGGATCCAACAGTACTTTAATTATCATCCCGAAACCAAATCTGTGACAGAGGGAATAAAGGACAGACTGACAAACAGACATATGGACGGATAAATGAACAGACAAACTAATGGACAGACGACCATGTGTATTACTGCCGTATGTATTTTCCATTCTTCTTAGGGGTGGGGTATGAAAAATAAACAATATCTTCAAATACAGACAAGATACATCTTTACACATTGTGGCAACTTATATTTATTAGGAATATTTGTACAAATTGTGTTACAAGAGAAACGTAACAATGTTAGGTAAACAAAAACAAATGCATAAATAAATATAACAGTAAACAACAAACATAATCTTCTTGTTTCTAGAATGGCTCACCAAAATTTGGGTCGCAAGATACATAATCTCTCCAATGCTTCAACAGTTTCTCAACTAGAAAGAATTCACCTTTTATTTGAGAGAAAAAAAAGTCTTTTACAGTAAGATAAAAGTATAAATACATTCAAGCTGGTTTAACCAACAACTTACCTTGGGATGTGCTTGTTACCTATACCTAATGACAGTTACCAATATTGGATTTTCAATTTAGAATTTTATTGTGGAATTTAATACTATCAGTATTTTCTACATATACCAAAAATTTCTATCCCATTGTTATATTACTAATAGTGTGTATCTAAAATTTACATGTAGACATGATGGCCCAAAATTTTATTTCATTAAAGATTTCTCCTCTTATCCATCATTTCTTTTCATTTTAATTTGGAAAAAGTCTATCATATTTCAAATTTATAAAATGATGTAGGAAAACATGCAACCATACATAACAGATGGGCATAGACTTATCACAAATCAAAATATTGTTGACCTATCATGTTTAGTTACTGAGGAACAGACTTAATTCTGAAATTTAACCCTGACCACTGAACATGAGGTCAATACCATATGACATGTGTCAACAAATGCACATAACCTGACCACTGGACATGTGAATGAGATCAAGTTTCATAAAATTCCATGATGTTTGACAAAGTTATTGATGTTTATAAAAAATTAAAACAGACTGTATTTTAATGTTATAAACTATAAAAAAAAAATTAAAAAGAAGGAGAGGACATGAATGACTCCGCTCAAGCTTTGCAATTTTCAAAGTTAAAAAGGGGCATAACTCTAGAGCAGTGAAAACTGCCCAAATTCAAACTCTGTCTGCGTTTTGTGGTTTTAAGTGCGGAAACGCGAAAAAATGTGAAATTTCCACTTTATAAAGGAGCATACCTCTAGAATATTAAGTGACTCACTGCCCTAATTTGAACTCTGTCTGCAAGTTTTGTTTATTAGCAATGTGTATGAGTTTCAATAAAAATTTGGATGAGGAAAACTAGTTGGAAATGCGGAAACGAAAAAATTAGCAATTCCCAAGTTATAAAGGGGCATAACTCTAGAACAGTAAGTGACTCACTGCCCAAATTCAAACTCTATAGTCTGCCAGTTTTGGTTCTTAGCACTGTGTATGATTTCCATAAAATTTGCATGAGGCAAACTTAAGTAAGAATGCAGAAAAGAAAATGGGATGAACCGACAGAAGGACATTTATCAGTAGAACACAGATAAGTAAAAATATTCAAATTTTGATGCAGATGCTATATCTGATTCATGAACATGATGAAGAAGCTTAAGTCCAATTTTCGTAAAATTCCATTAAGGTTTGACAAAGTTATTGATGTCTAAAAAACCTTAATTCACAGCCTGAACCTAAATACTGATGACCAGGATGTAGGATGTGAAAGCTACATTGTGTATTACAATATGACGTTCTTCAAATGCTTAAGTACACACCCGTGGTAAAATATGAATATATTTTTTGTCAGCTGATCAGTAATATTATGCTTTGTTTAGACTGTTCCTGTTCCTGGCTGTAAATGACGTTATTGAACAATGATGTAAGAATATATAAGTATAATCACAGACTGAACCTAAATGCTGATGACCCTGATGCCACCAGGATCTAGGATGTGAAAGCTACTATAAACACTTTCAGAGGAGGTATAATCATAAAATATCAATATATTCAAAAGCCAAGAAAACATCTTAATTCCACAATTCCAACAAAGCATGTCAAATGAAAATGGGGGGGATAATAATATTTTTTTTTATCCTATAGATCTCATTCCCTTTTTAAAACATTTCTGATGTCCCCTATCTACAGCATGCAAAATGCTTCCATTATGATAATATGGAAGCAAACACTGAAAAATCTTGCAGATAAAATCCTCATAAAAATGTTGATTCATCATTTTCATTACAACATTATATTATTTACAAGTTAAATTTCATTAAACATGCAGAATTTACATATTAGGTCAGACATTCAAGTTGGGATTTATGTGCAGTGGAAGACATGGGGAACACTGTGATTTGTCAACATCAAATACCTCCATCAAATGAATACTCTTCAGTAGCATTGTACTTATAACATAAATTCATTCCTAAAATGAAATCATTTTAATTTAGTGTAATTCAAAATACACCTTATAGCCTTTTGAAAATAACAGTGCTAAAATTGATTTAAAAGATGTTAAACATTCTCTTAGATTTTACTGTCGTATATATCCAAAATGTACTTCCCTTTTGCAGTACCAATGGACCAAATCATTTTTTCAAGTTGCAGTTTGAATTGATCTCTTTTAAATCAAAGCACTGTAACCGCTGTAGGCAGTTAACCAAAAACCAAGGCAAACGTAATTATGAAAACTGTGGCAGTGTTGCTTCAATTTTTTTTTTAAGATTTGAAAGAACAAACATTAAACATTCGTATATTGTACATTTATGTTCATTAAATGAATTGATTATTAAGGCAAATTACTTAATATTTCATCAAGGTTTTCAAAAGCAACTCATATATCAATGTAAATGACCCCCATCTTCACCCCCAAGTGCATGATGTTACTCCATACCAAGTTTGGAATAAAATGACAGGTGATTATAAAACAGTTGGTCAAACATTCTCGGTCTTTACACTGCTTGAAATAATTATATGTTTTCTTTAAAATGAGCCATAAATGAAAATAATTATAGGCCCAGAAATAATTTAATAAATAATCAAAGTAAATTCAATACACCTAGACTAATTTCTTGCATCAATAAAATTTTATAATAAACAAGAAATAATTGTAACAGGATGCCGTTATGAAGTCTCCCAAACAAAGCCCCCATAATTCGTCATTCCCATGGTCTCCTGACATTGGGCATAGTCCAGTTCATATTGGTTTGGTCTAGTAAAGTGATATGCATATGTGACGCCTAGGAGATTGACCCTGTATGTCATTCAAATCTTTTTGAAATGATGAACAGGAACAAGTATGGTTTAGGTGCGGGTATCTCGACCGTTTACAAGTTCTCAAACAGGAGGGGGTGGGGTGACCCCAGGGACTCCCCCTATATTTCTTTTGATTTGTTATATTGTCCCATACATGAATACATATGGTTTAGGGGTGGGGATCTCTACCATTTCCAAGTTCTCAAACAGGAGGGGGTGGAGTGACCCCAGGGACTCCCCAAATATTTCATTTGATTTGTTATATTGTCCCATACATGAATATATATGGTTTAGGGGTGGGGATCTTGACTGTTTACAAGTTCTCTAACAAGAGGGGGTGGGGTGTCCCCATGGACTCCCCCTATATTTCATTTGATTTGTTTTATTGTCCCATACATGAATATGTATGGTTGAGGGTCGGGGATCTCGACCATTTCCAAGTTCTCAAACAGGAGGGGGTGGGGTGACCCGAGGAACTCCCCATATATTTCATTTGATTTGTTATATTGTCCCATACATGAATATATATGGTTTAGGGATGGGGATCTTGACTGTTCACAAGTTCTCAAACAGGAGGGGGCGGGGTGTCCCTAGGGACTCCCCCTATATTTCATTTGATTTGTTTTATTGTCCCATACATGAATATATATGGTTTAGGGGTGGGGATCTCGACCATTTCCAAGTTCTCAAACAGGAGGGGGGTGGGACGACACCGGGGACTCCCCCAAATTATTTTCATTTGATTTCTTTTATTGTCCCATACAAGTATATATGTTGTTTAGGGGTGGGGATCGCGACGGTTTGCAAGATAAAAGTACATTTTCAAATTGAATGGGGGTTGGGATGACCCCCAGGGACTCACCCTATATTTTGGTTGATTTTTTTTATTGTCCTGTTCTCATTACTGACAACTGCATATGTCTATCACTTACTTTTTTGAGAAATAGTCATTTGAAAATTAAAAAAAATAAAATCCCATAGGGTTCTATAGTAAACCCCTCCCTTCTTCAGGCCCCTCCAAATACCCCTAAATAGACCCCCAATGCACAAACAAAAGATTAATGGCTCTGCTAGACATGTTAGTCTAATATTTTATGAAACCCTAAGTAAATCTGACAAACGGTCAAAGTTGTCTTCTTAGACGGTTTGAGTGGATTCGGTCCGACTTGTCTTGGGGACGGGTTGTCCACATTACTTAAAACATCCCATCAACGTCGATTTCCGCATCTGTTTCATGACCTCGTTTCATTCATAAAATAACAACAACCTTATTTGGCAAGATAAGTTAAAAATTACCGCCCACATATATAACTTTATTTCCTCTATCATAAAGATTTGTTGTACATGAACAATATTCCTGCGCATTTTGCCATTTGGGAAATATAAACTACTTATAATTACCGATTTTCGGCGATGAAATATTTCATACAATTGTTCTTTGACATCGTAGCCAAAAGCACAGGGGATAATAAACTACGTACGGATTTCTATTGAGCACTACTTCCTATGTGCAACTTCAAAAGTTTTGGGTAGTTCGACGATCATTTAAGGTTTTTCTGGTCATATTTTTTATATTCCAGAAATAAAAGTATTAAAAAAATGTCCAATTAGTTATAAATAACATAATAGCCAGCTAGATAATAACAATGGCACGTATTTCAGCATTTATTGGGTAGAACACAAATCTAGGGTGCTCGCATAAGGCAGCTTAACTGCCTAAAAATGCAACATGAAAAAATTCAGCCCAATGTTATAGAAAGGTAATTGTTAGTGTTAAGGACATACAATACAGTAGCAAGGGCAGATAATAATGCATCCAAATTAAATGCATTGTTTTCACAACGTTGCTAATGATATGCAGCCAAAATTCGCTGAAAAATCATAAACATCATTCAATCTGTTATGTCAATTTGATAGTATTTACAAAGGAAAACACAGATAATGTATTACTTTTCTATCATCTATAAATTTGTACAACATTTCGATGTACGTCTGGAATTACTGCACGACGGTGTTGCATAAAGAATATACTGTGACATACTTTAGCGCCAAAAACGGGAAATGGGATTGCTAGCACTTAAAAAAAATAGGTTATCTATTTCTAGCTAAAATATTAGCACATGGACCCCATTTTTTTCTTTTGCAATCGACTGTACATACACCTTCAAGAATGTTATTTCGAAATTACAAGAAAAAATCACATGCAGATTTTTTTCTGTATGCATTTGTATGGAAAAGAAAATTGTCTACTGGTTTTTATTACCAAAAGTTGTATGATTTCACAAAAATCAAATCACATTCAGCCCTAATATTAGAGACTTACTTAAAGGCCTATAAATACATGGACACTTTGCAAAAAAACTGTTGAAAATACCTCTTTTTGTTTGAAAGTTGTGTTATTTTTTCGTAAAAGTATTGAAAAATGAAATTTTGTGTATTTACATAAAACAGGCACATTTCAAGCTGAAATACATGTATCTCCAAAAGTAAGTCATGGAGGTACATGTATATTTTTCTTTGCATATTTTGATAGTACAAATCAAAATTCACTTTGTATCAAAATTTCAAGAAAAAATCAACGAGAGATCTTTTCTGTAATGAATGCCCTTATGCAGGTGCAATGTAATGAAAATTATCTTACCATTCAATTCCAATGATTGGCTTTCTGTTTTATATGAAGTTTCAAAAAATTACACACCTAACTTAACGTATCAGACTAACTTGAATAAAAAAAGTTTTGACAACAGTTTGAAGCTTTAACAATAATTTTGTGGTCATTTCAAATTGTTTTTATACTTGTGAGCCTGATGACTAAATTATTGATTTTCCTACTTCTTGTGAAACAGACAGTCAATCATAGAATTGATTGGTAAGATTACTATTATTACAGTGCACCTGCTTTTTACTTATTACAACCTTTCTGTTGCAATAGGCTGAAATTTTTCACCAGTTGATTAGTTTGAAGAAGGGAATTTAAACTATTTCTTCCAAAGAGTAGTTATACAAACTTAGAGCATACTTATATAAAGGAGATATTCTAAATGTTTTTACAAAAATCCACTTGTGTTTGTTTTTTGAAACAAAAAAGTTAGGTATGTCTGTGGAAAGGATAGAAATTTCCAAGAAAACCAACAGTTTGAGTAAATGTCTAAATTTTCAACCTGATTAATCTCTAAAAGTAGCACATAAAGGTACATGTTTTATTACATATTTGAAGTGACAAGGTGAAAAGTAGCTTGTATGCAAATTTAAACAAAAAAATCACAGTGGAATAAAAATGTATTGTACTTATGCCCTTGGCTTTGTATACTGAAATAACAAACTACTGGTTTTGTCTTTGGAGACAATATATTTCTAACCTCTAAGTCAACATTTTAAAACTAGTTTCTAAAAAACATAAAGTGTTTACATATTTACCCACAAAGAGATTATAAATACTGATACCTACCTTTCTCCTGTTTCTGTAGACCTCTAGCCTGAGCTAATGCAAAGATAACAGCATCTCCAACAGTCTGGTGAGGTGGCTTCACTCTGTTGTAAGCCTGGGCTGCTTCCACAGCTATTTTCAACTTTGACCTTTTGTACCGATATATCTGTCCTTGCCTTAAAAGGTCATCTCGTTCATTCACTTTATTATCCAATCTTTCTTTTAATTCCAGTTTGTGAGATTTAGGGACATATCTCGTTCTAAAACTTATATTAAGTTCTTTCAATTGCCTGTCAAGCTTTTCATAATTTCTGTATAGAAGGGTTAGATCTGTTGATTCTTCTAATGTTAACCCTAAAAATATATACTTTTCACCATTAGGATTGGCAAATTCAACTACATATATACAAACATATTCATCACAATTAAAGCAACTTAAGGCTCCAATAAGCCAATATGCATCTCCTGGTTTCAATAAATAGATGGATAACCAATTCATTTATTCCCTAAAGTTTGGTAGCATATTAACTTTTGCATCGTTATAAAACTACTTTAATTAACCACATCTACAGGGTTCATGTCTTATAATGATTGAGATCAATATTTGAAAATTTCACATTTGTATACAAATCAATGTGTCAACATGTAAGTATGCATTTTTATTTCACTAAGAATGATATTCAGATAAAAAAATCCTTTATACTTATCTAGTATAAGAAAAATTTAGTCCATACAGTAATCAATATTTGAACATTACTTATAAATAACACTATAATTACCTGGAATCATACGACTGTCTTTTTTTAGTTCTCGCTTTGGTGGTTCAGTAACTTCTCTATCTAATTCTTCTCTTTCTTTACGTTTCTGTTGAAGTTCATTCAGTTCTTTCTGTAATCTCTCATTGTCTTTCTGGATCACTAAAATTCTGTTAAAATAAGAAAAAGTAACAACATTGGAGGAAACCGGAGTGCCCGGAGAGAACCACATACTTTGGCAGGAAAATTGTAAATCCTAGTCAAATTAAGATTGGAGTCAAACAAACCTTTAACATGTGGGGTTCAAACTCACAACCCCAGTGTTGACAGACTATTGGTATAGTAGTTAAACTACTTAGATCACTCAGTCACTGAGGCCTTATAATTTAAAGTGTTCACATCATGATGAACAAAGATTAACTTTATTCAAATACGAACAGAATCCAGGGGAAACCAAAAAATATTCTGTATATTCAGAAATTATTGCAAGGTATTTATCAATGCGAATAATGCTTCTGGGTGGGAATCGCAATAATAAGAACTCGCATTCTTATATATCTGATACATATATCTGTATGCAGGTTAACTGAAATTGCAATAATTAATCTTGCATTTTTGTTCATTTTCTAAAAATCGTAATAATAAATGCACACAATAATTTCTAAATTTACAGTATATATGTTTTCCTCCTGAAAAAGGTGTTTATTATAATTGCATTTTCTGATATTCTACTCATAAAACCTTTTGATAAGCATAATCCATCATTCAAATTTGAAAGGGATCCAAGCAGAAATGACATAGTATGATATTTAAAAGTTGCCTTACCTTTCGTCTAATTCATCAGCTCTTTTTCTATAATTCCTGATGGTTGAAGGCTCAGATGCCATTGCCTTCAGTTTGCCATGTAGAAAATCAGCCTCTCTTTGACCTTTCTTAATGGCTTCTATAGTATCTTCATATTCTTTCTTTATAGCTGTTAGTAATGGTTTGTATGCAGAAACATGTTCAATAATCTACAATGGAAAATAAATATTTTTATCCTCTAACATTTAAACCAGAAAACTGTATGAAAAGGTACTAACAAATGCTAGCCGTTTTTCTAAAAGCAGTACCACTAAGTAAAATAAGGGAATTATTTGGTCTAATGTGTCAATAGAAGAAATTTTAATTGATGAATATTTTTATACCGATAGAGTTGAGATTTTGAACAATTTTGGAAAGAGTGAAAGAAACCTTACCCTGTTGAAAACTGACTTGTATATGGTATATCTTTGATCATCATCACCAGATGACAGTTTATCAGTCTCATATCTAATGTAATCATTCAAATCTAACAGGAAAGTTCTATCAATCTCACTGGTAATAATAGGAGGTAACTTTGGCAAACTGTTTACTGGAGTTCCTGACCTGCTTAAAGTCGATACTGTAACAGAAAAAAACATTGAAAGCATAAAAGACACAGTATTGAATTATAGAAGGATTAATACATCAAAAAGAATGGTGAACCTATGATTACAGTAGAACCTGAATATAAAGGTCAACCTTGGGAACAGAGAAAACTTACCTTAAAAGAGAGATAACCTTTGAATTGAGGTTAAAAATGCATAGGTACATGTATTACTATAGACAGGTTTTTCTATTTATAATGGTATTCTTTATAGCAGGTTTGACTGTATTTCATATCATTTACCTAGAAAGTTATACATGTATGTAATTACCTGGTATACATTTAGTAGGTTGCAGACAACCTGTGTGGTTTACATCTAAATTCTAAAAATAAATGATTAAAAATTGGGGAGAAAAGTATATTTGTATGGTGTAAAAACATTTTACCTCTATTAAACAGTAAGTATACTATATAAGGCCACACCAATTTGATGTCTAGTTCGTCGGACAAAAGCTCCAAAAAATATGGGGCGAGTGTGCGAAATTTTTTTGTTTTTATTTTTTTTTGAAGCAAGTGCTGTATAAGTGAAGAGAGTGGTATAATTTTTTTTTAAATTTTGCGATTTAGAAGTTGTACAATTTATGTACATGTTATAACCATGATAACTGGGTTACTTCATAGAAAAACGAGGAGCAACAGATGCTCTAATGCATATAATTTGATTTCTTGGTGCCTGTACTATACCAGACTTTCTTGTCTCACTGTGGTTTAGTTAATTTTGGTTATTTTCTTCAAGTAAGCTTTGTCTGCGTGAATTTTCATTTAAATCCATATATATATTTAGGAAGCATAGAAAATGCACTTTTACAAGAGGAATTATGTTATTAGGTAAATGACACATGTTGAATAAAATTAAAATATGTGTACATATGTATGTATCCAAAAAAATACCCCTGAAAGATACTTTATAAAAGTTTAAAATTTATTTATAATTACAAAAAATTTACCTAGAAATACCTTTGAAACTGAACGTTAATGAGAAGGTTGACAGATCCTTGTGGGTAGAGCATAGAAACAGGACTTACCTATCTCAATCAGATTGCTAATTTAGGTGATTGTGGTGTTATTAAAAGGAGCATATTTACTAAATACAGTGTGTATCTTACTCCTTTTAATAGTTTTACTGAGCCTGAAGTTGTCATACTTTAGCTGACAGTTATGGAACAATATGCACAAAAAATTACCATTAATATGTTCCATTTGCTGTAGCCACACTTTTAGATCAGAAACTGTTTAGCCTTCCAGAATCACCCACATTCACCCCAAGGTTCGTTTTGAAGGAGTTCTTACATGTTGCTTTTGCATTAGTATTTGAGTTGTATTCGATTTTTCAGTGTTTGTTGTGGGTATTTAGAATCGCTCAATCCCATAAAATCGTAGAAATCCCTCTAGAACGTACTGAAATCCCCATTATTATGATTTATATACATGTAGTTCCAAAAAAATCTAGAAATGAAAGAAAAAAAACATAATTTATGGATACATGTATGCGTCTTTTTTTTAAGCATTACAATATGCATTTGGCTTGATGGAACAATTATTTTTGCCTGTTTGCACTTTACTTATGTAACAATAAGGGCAATATGGTGGTTGTATGGGCAAAAATAGATAACTGGTAACTATTATTATAGCACTGAAGTACTTTTGAAACTTTTATTCGTTAATTAATTTCAAATATTGATATAAGTTTACCTTGAAAGAGAAAATTTCACTAGTATATCAAATGGTTTGGAAATAAATGAAATAGAGTTATCTACACGACCCTTTCGTCAGAAAGTTTTACTAAATGTAAATAATTTTTCCAAGGCTCTTCAAGTTCGTCTGATGTAAATTCCAAAAATTCATGGGAAAAAGATTACATTGTATTTCCCTTAGATAAAAGTGTGGAAAAGTAGCCTCCAAAGGCCTGCATTTTTAATAAAACTTTTGGGGATTGGTAAATGAATGTTTAGTACAAAATAGCTTTAAGTTAGCTGCATTCTTGTTCTTTAGTATGGGAAGTAAAATAAGGGATTGTACCAGAGTTGATAAATTCACCCAAAACAGGTTAAGGCAATCAGTAAATTAGTGGAAAGTACAGGGGTCAAAATTAACTTTTTAAGGCCAATAGCCAGCTTGGCTAATAGACTTGAAAATCAGTTAGCCCAGATAAAAAGTTAGTAGCCCACTTTATTTCACTGTCACCATGTGATGCGCGCGAAGCGGGCTGAACTTGCTAGGGGGGTTTGGGGGCATGCCCCCCAAGAAAATTTTGAAATTTTAGACTCAAAACCCTGCATTCTGAGCATACCTGGAGGTGATTTAGATGCTTGGGAAAATGTAAATTTTGTCTTATTTTTGTTGTTGACTTCTATCAAATTTAATAAAAACAAGAGTGCACACGCTGAAATGTCTCGCCTTCTTTACTAATCATTGATATTATGTTGATAGTCCTAAATATAAAGCTTTATTACAACTGTCACATAAACTTAACATTAACCAAGTAAACTAAACATTGACCAATGAACCATGAAAATGAGGTCAAGGTCAGATGAACCATGCTAGGCAGGCATGTACAGCTAACAATTCTTCCATACAACAAATATAGTTGACCTATTGCTTATAGTTTAAGAAAAACAGACGAAAACACAAAAACTTAACACTGAGCAATGAACCTTGAAAATGAGGTCAAGGTCAAATAAAACCTGCGTGACTGACATATAGATCATAAAATATTTCCATACACCAAATATAGTTGAACTATTGCATATAGTATTAGAAAAAAAGACCAAAACTCAAAAACTTAACTTTGACCACTGAACCATGAAAATGAGGTCAAGGTAAGATGACACCTGCCAGCTAGACATGTACACCTTACAATCATTCCATACACCAAATATAGCTGACCTATTGCATGCAGTATTAGAAAGAAAGACCAAAACTCAAAAACTTAACTTTGACCACTGAACCATGAAAATGAGGTCAAGGTCAGATGACACCTGCCAGCTAGACATGTACACCTTACAATCATTCCATACACCAAATATAGTAGACCTATTGCATACAGTATAAGAAAAACAGACCAAAACACAAAAACTTAACTATAACCACTGAACCATGAAAATGAGGTCAAGGTCAGATGACACCTGCCAGTTGGACATGTACACCTTACAGTCCTTCCATACACCGAATATATTAGACCTATTGCTTATAGTATCTGAGATATGGACTTGACCACGAAAACTTAACCTTGTTCACTGATCCATGAAATGAGGTCGAGGTCAAGTGAAAACTGTCTGACGGGCATGAGGACCTTGCAAGGTACGCACATACCAAATATAGTTATCCTATTACTTATAATAAGAGAGAATTTAACATTACAAAAAATCTGAACTTTTTTTTCAAGTAGTCACTGAACCATGAAAATGAGGTCAAGGACATTGGACATGTGACTGACGGAAACTTCGTAACATGAGGCATCCATATACAAAGTATGAAGCATCCAGGTCTTCCATCTTCTAAAATATAAAGCTTTTAAGAAGTTAGCTAACGCCGCCGCCGCCGTCGCCGCCGCCGGATCGCTATCCCTATGTCGAGCTTTCTGCGACAAAAGTCGCAGGCTCGACAAAAATCATTTACAAAATGGGAATCTTCATGCCCTGTGTACCAGTTTTTTTTTACATATCTTTTTAAGACAACTAAAGAATTCAATGATTTTATTACTTAAATTAGCTACATCAAACAACAGAACAGACATAATTGTTAATCTCTGGAAAATTTCGAACAACCTTGCAAACACCTACATCCTCCTCCAAATCACTGTCAATCCCTGACTCATAATCTCTTTCATCATCACACTCATCTTCAAACCCATACATCTTACTCACCTCAAAAAATACTCTGCCTCACACTCTCAACATTACACACTGCCTCACACTCTTCTGTCTGACTATCTACCTCTGTCTGTTCTTCTCTCTCCCTCTCAGTATCTTTCTCTTTACCACTCCCTGCATCAACCACATCATCTTCTTATCTCTCAGCTTCAGTTTCAGTCTCATGCAGTTACAATATCATTATGCCTTTCACCCAACACTCTATCATTAGCTAAACTAATATTCCTTATCCAATTTTCTTTTGGCGACATCGGGTTCTTTAACCCCAGGAATATGTTTCAACATTTTGTTTTCTTCAAATCCGTATGTTCGCGAAAAATTGTAAACCCAAACCAATATCGGCACGGTTTCCAAATTCTAACAACTGGTTCCCGATAAAATTGTGATGACGACGGTTAAGTTTCTGATCAAGGGGGACCAGTGGGAGCGCTGATCCCGGGTTTGTTAACGGTAGATTTTCAGTTGAGTACTTTTTCAGTTCGCCACCTGGGCTACCACAACTGAATAAAAAGATTGCCCAGGTCAATTTCTGGTCGTGATGAGCGACCATTAATTTTTTTCCCTGAAAGTATGTGGTATATGATGACACAGGTAAAAAATAAATTTGTGTGATGGAAAGAAAAGTACAAATGTCAACAATAGAATTTTAATATGAAATATATGAGAAGATAATTCTTATAATGTGCTTTCAAAAAATCAGAAGAAAAATTGGAGTCATGATACTCATCTTTTTCGAGCTACAAAACAAAACTAGGTAAATTATCTACACACTCCTTTATAAAACTAGATCTAGAGTGGCAAAAAAAATATCATTATACAAGATTTATTTTTAAGTTTTATCATCATAATTATACATCTTTATAAAACACATAATTTTCTTCATTTAGATGAGAATTACATTCTTCTTTCAAAATTTTTGATGTGCTCTGTTTTAATTAATTTTATATACAGTTACCACCATATGTACACATGAATCATGAGAAGAAATTTGTGGGACAATAGCAATTACATGAGTCAGTAGCCATCCAGTGTCAATAGCGACACCTTAAGGATACAGAAAAAATAATATAGTCTGATAGTGTTCAGCTATTTAGGAAACTAGATGTTAGAAAACAACCAATCTACCTTCAGGAGTTTGAACATCTTTTATTTTGCTTTGTGGTATATTTGGGGGGTCGTACACCAATCGCTATTTAATTTGTTATTTATGTCACCGTCGTCCTTTATTAAAATGTTTAATGTGTCATTCATCAGTTCGTTTATTTCATTCATTCCACTTTCTGTTTCATCATTCTCATTATGACATTTGACTGAGACTGACCACAGTTTAAATACACGGCACGGCACAATTTCAGATACACATCACTACACACATGAATGATTCAGATAGAACAAAAATATGATTGCACACAAGGGAAAATAAATGTATGCCTTATATATATATATATGTTTTAGTATTTCATTAACTGCTTAACTGCCTTTCTTAGTTGGTGATTTAAAGCTGACACAATATTTACAGTTAATAAAAGTGGTACCAAGACTCAGTGTTCTCCCCAGGCCCTTAAAGGACCGCAGGCCTGCGATGTATAATTTTCTACCGTGGTGGTATCGTTCTTGCCGCGATGTATAATTTTTCTCCGTGGTGCTAAAATTTTCGGTAAAAAAATAGTAAATCGGTAAAGTTTTAAACGACTTGTTAAACCTTTTCCGTGGGGTATAAAATTTCAGATGAAAACTGACCAGTTCAAACCAGTTCAATCCAGTTCTTACAACTAGGTTGTTTACACCACGTGATCGATTTACCTTTTGAGGTTAACCTTGATGATTGGATTTAATCGATGTACATGATTCTTTTGTGTTTTAATTAATTGAGAGATCATAATTAATGATCAGACTTGTGAGGGACAAGCAGACATTTGTTAATTAACTCTATTACTCCAGCCTTTGGTTATAAATAATTTGCGTATTTTAAACGTGTTGGAGTTACTTCCCCTGATTTAGCATATTACAAATAAGTGCTCCTAAAATATTATCTATCAATGAAAATAGAAATAAAGTACAAATTGAATGCAAAATTATATAAGAATGTTAGCTTAAGGATAAAAACTTTCTTTCAACATACAAACAAAAATATATTGCAAATTATTTTTGATAAACATACTTTTATTAATGCACAGACATATTATAATAAATAGGTAGTATTTTCCAATTGGGAATTGACTTGTGTTAAAGTAGTCCCAGTCTTAAGACACTGATTGGAACTCAGCTTGATATGATATATGAGTGTACAGATAGATGATATAAATTTACTTCTCATGTCTGTCTACCAAGTAACACAATAATGATTCTAATAATAATTATATTGTTGTTTAAAAGAATCATGTCTTAAGCTATGGAAAATAGTTTTTAATTTACTAGAGGTTCTGCATTAAAATTTAATCTTGTTTAAATTTAATTGTTATGGTGTAATCTAACAAAAATGGGGAATGTGTAGTGTAACTACAAGTATCAGGACAAATTGGCTTGATCAAAATCTAAAAAGTGACTTAAGTTTAAAGACTAATAGTGCTTTCTTTTATTTATTCTTAAAAGAAATTAAAGTATACAAACTGTTTATTGATTTACCTCTTTTTTTACCAGTAATTTTTTGACCCAAAGTCTACATAACACAGTAAACAAAACAAAGACAAAAAGGTAATGACACAAAAACTAACAAGAAAAAAAAAAGGTGATGCAACGCGGCACGACATATTGTACAAATCATTTTGACACGCGTTACCCTGGTGCTATCCAAAAATCCGGTATCGGGTCCGTTCGCGCCCAATACACGTTCGCACCCTACACGTTCGCACCCCACACGTTCGCCCCCTAGGTCCGTTCGCACCCTACACGTTCGCACCCTTTTTTTTATTCAAAAACCTGATAAATTTTTAGATGTTTTGTAAAATATTTTTATTTTCATAAATAAATATTCGGGAATTTTTAAATGAAATATTGTTTTAAATTGATTTGATGATTAATTATTAAATGTTAATTATGTATGATTACTGGTATTTATATTTTGTATTTATACACAGCCTAATATGATGTCATTGTTGAGTGTTTAAAAATCATGATTGTTGTCATGGTTATTTTAACTTGCTTTAAATGTAAATACTGCATGTATTTAGCTTGGTATGAGTAAAACTTTGAAGATTTTAAATAAAAAACATGAAAGATAATTGTTTTTAACAGCTTGGCTCCTTTGAGCTCATGTGTGTCAGAATCTCACTTTATTCATAAACAATGAAAAAAAATATTTATAGCAATACACTATCCAAAACATGATTACGAATTATTCAACACATAAAAAAAAAACGTTGTCAGAATCCCATTTCCTTTTGAAACAATAAAAAAAAAATATTTATAGCAATACACTAACCAAAACATGATTAAGATTTTATCAACACCTGAAAAAACGTTGTCAGAATCTCACTTTATTTAGAAACAATGAAAAAAAATAAATTTATATATATATATATATATATAGATATATAGAGAGCAATACACTTACCTAAACATGATTAAAAATTATTCAACACAAAAATAAAATACTGGTCGTCAGAATCTCACTTTATTTAAAAACAATGAAAAAAAAATGTTTAAAGCAATTAACATTTACCATGACACAAAAAAAACCTTGTCAGAATCTCACTTTATTTAGAAACAATGAAAAAATATATATTTATAGCAATACACTTACCAAAACTCGTTAACAAATTATTAAACACAAAACCAATAAAAATTGGGCGCGAACGTGTAGGGTGCGAACGTGTAGGGTGCGAAAGTGAAAGGGGGGCGAACGTGCATGGGGGCGAACGTGATTGGGCGCGAACGGACCCGGATTCCAAAAATCCTGGGGAGAACACTGAGACCCTGTCTGTTATTGGCCATAAAGGCATAAACATTAAATTTGGTGTGAATGTTCAGTTGTGACATTTATGAATGAGTTACACCATTTGACGCTAGGTCAATTGCTGTAAACAAAGTCATTGAATAATTGGTTCTTACTGCGACATAAAAACAAACGCATTGTGACATAGGAATTTACGGGTTAGTGCATATTTTATGCCTTTTTTTGGCAATGAATTTGAAGATGTGTTAGTGTTAGACAAGAGACATATGATAAGCAATAGACTTATATGACTTGCAAACATATTTCAACAGGAGTTAAATGGCAGGTCTCACTAGAGCAGTAGAGCCTAGAGCCAGTAGAGAAGCAGTTGACACCTCCAGAACACCAAAGTTCATCTCAGTTTTTTAAGGGTTACTTTAAGACAATTTTTGGTTTTCTGACAAATTCAAAAATATAATATAATGTAATAATGCCCTAAAGGTTATGACAAATCGTACGATCTTCGTTTGTCTTTTCCCTATGCAGTTTCGCCATTTTCAAACAATTTGGTAGACAGGAAGTGACGTTTTTTCAACTGGTTTCTAAATTATTGTTTTCGCTTTTCCTATGCCCACTAAACAAAACTTTTCCGATAAAACCAGAAGAGGAAAAATGGAAGAAATCGGTCTTGCAGTTCCTGAAAAAGTATTTGTTTTTGCATTGTTATCATTTCCATTTGATGACATAACAAATTCTCGTGCGATAGTTTGATCATGATTATCCCAATTAAGGCAAAATCTCTGAGAAACAAGGAGAACTTCTATGTCTGAATACGTTTTAAATCCCGTAGAATTTTGCATTGTCATCCGCCGGTTTCATGTTGTTCCGGTCCCAAGTTGATTCGGCCCCTAAATGAAAGGCACTGGCTACGGTTACATGGAAATGTAACAATAATAATAAAATTATTGTTACATTGGAGACTAATTGCCGGAATACATGGTTGGGTAAGGATGCGATTAATTATGTAACAATATATTTGAGTCTACGGTTACATGGGTCATTGCGTTATCGTTACATATTAATTATGCACTTCAATGTAAGCTAGATTTATTAAACTTAAACCTTATAGTTTTGATGCTGAATTGTTTTCGCCAATAAGAACGAAGTTACGATCACATAATATCTGGACTCAGAAAATGAAAGCACTGATTCCACCAGTTTCAACATGTCGGCAAATGTTAACATTACTGAATTGCCTTCACAATATAAAATAAACATCGCAAGATTAAAAAAATATTTTTTCATATGAATCATGACAGACATTGAAAGTTTCTTTAAACTTCAAAAAGGGATAGTGCAAAATGTAATTGTACAGTATGCAATACAGACGTGCACATTGCTGCATCATTTGTTTGTGATGGCTGCTTAGTGGTTTCACTAAAATGCGTGGGACTAAATCATGCTTCCATAAACAACATGCAGGATTTGTAGAATTGACATTGTAAATAAAAAAATTAAAAATTGTATGCAATATTGCAAAATTCAAATAAAAGTTTTCAAGTTTTATTTTGCATTAATGTAACAATAACGCAATGTAACCGTAGACTCAGTTATTATTGTTACACTCGTAATTAATCGGTTCCTTACCCAACACTGCATTCTGGCAATAAGTCTCAAATGTAACAATAATTATTCTATTATTGTTACATTTCCATGTAACCGTAGCCAGTGCCTAAATGAAAAATACTTCCAAGGGGTCAAGGATTTATATAATTGACTTCAAATAAATAAAGGTTAATGCATTTCTCATTTGAAATAAACTTGCATGTACTAATAGGTGGCAACTGTATATTAAATTAATTAAAACAACTTATCATGAATAAAAAATCCCAAAAAACTCTGAAGTAAAGAACTTGAGATGGGAGAGGTTTTTTTTTCATCACTGATAATAAAAGAGGCCTTGGTTGCTGAGTGGTCTAAGCAGTTTCACTTGTCTTTCAAAACTGAGGATGTGAGTTTAAACATTCGTCTCCAATCTTAATTGACTAGGATTGTCAGTTTTCCTGCTGAAGGTCAGTAGTTCTCTCCAGGCACTCCGTCTTATTCCACCAATAAAAACTGATCGCTATGAATTGGACAACAGTGCTGAAAGTGGCATTAAACATCAGTCAATCTTCAAATTAATCAACAGTCTTTCATATGACTAAAAATTTTATCTTTACAATCTTTTCAATTTAAACTGGCCATGGTGTAAAAAAAATTTGTATCAGGCAAGGTGACCACCAAGCTGATGCACACAAACTTTTTTTGTAAGTTACATATGTATAAAAACTACTCAAATTGAGAAATATTTGATTTTCCGAATCCCTTTCATAAAAGAGTTAATTACTTGCTATTATTGATCATCACTACTGTTTCCTGAAAATATTTTTCTGATCATCAGCAAAATGTACACAACTTTTTCGTTTGTAAATTGACACTTACCCTGAATCAAATACTTCAAAAATCTTTCATAGTATGAATTCATTATTTTTTTATGGGGCAGGAATGACACTTGGAAAGATCGACTTGGGGTCAGAACCAGGGCTTCCAAAACGGTCGTATTTTCCAGACATGACAGATAAATTATAAATATGACTTCTTGTGCCAAACCTGAAATGGATATTCAGGGTTCTAGTTAAGACGCGTATATGCGTCCTGGACGCATGAAAATCGAGCTGGACGCGTCATTTTTGAAACCCGTGAGTCCCCGGGACACATCCTCGTTGTAACCCCTGAGTCCCAAACACATCGTTTTGCCTAGAAGATTGGCGTTGTTTTGACAGGAAACAAAACCGGAAGTCGATGCTGAAAAATTTATGTAATGCGTAGATGAATATTTTGTTGACTGATAACTATTTTTTAAAATTAAACGTCTTTCAACCTAAAATATACAATTCTGTTCAAACTGATTAATAAATATGTAATAGTTACCGATTTTTTTTTTAATTTATGAGTATTTGAAAAGATTTAATATTTCCACGTGTTGAACATCACATATTTATCAATTGAACCAAAGAAAGTAAAAAATTTTGAGAACTTGAAATGAAATGATATAATATTTCATAACTGTTGCTACTATGCATAAAATAGATCATAGAACAAAGTTGATTTGAAATTTTACGGATAAGAATATTATTCTACTGACCTTCGAATGATTAAACATTTTTCTCATATTGTGCATGTTGAACATCGCGATCGTAAACAAGGTGAAAAATGTTTTGAATGATAGAAACAAATCTGATTTAGGTTTGCCTTTTGATATTGATAAAAATTAAAGAACTTTGAAGACTTGAAGAAGAATAGCTGTAGGATGCCATAGGGTTATTTAATTTTTCAGTTGTTATTCTGGTGTCCAAAGTTGGATTGATTGATTGATTGACTGGTGTTTTAACACCACTTTCAGTACTGTTGTGCTATTTCGTGATCACATGTTGGTGATATAATAAAAACTACCAATCAAACATGCATCATTTTAGTTTTTATTTCATCATATTTCATCATATTATAAGACACAGAAAATTACATGCATCCTGGACTCATCAAAATCTATTGGGACTCACCATTTCTAAAAGTGATGAGTCCCAGGACTCACCATGAAAAATTCCTAGTCAGACCCCTGGATATTTAACGTAGGTTTGCCATTTTAACATAATTTAGAAAAAAAAATCTTTTTGACCTGACCTTTTGCCTTAAACAGCCACATTTCCGGTCATAAAAGTGACATGGTGAATAAGTACTATCAAAACAAATCCTACTTTAATACCCTCTCATTACAATCAAGGTTAATTGGTTGTCAGACAGTTGAAATTTACCTGTTCAGGTTACAGGCAAACTGAAATGTACCGGACATTGATCGGTCTATTTGAAGTTATTTTTATAAATTTCAGCGGTTTGCATCTAATTAGTTTAATCAAAAAGTTTTGAATTATCAAAAATATGTATATAAATATGATTTGATGAAAATTTTTAAAAGGTAGTTATAAAGGTTTTAAGCGAATAAATCGTCAGGACCACATTGTTTGAACAAAATACATGTGTGCGCATGTGCGCAGTTGTGAGATTTAATTATGCATCCAAATTCTTCAAAAATACTAAAATTGTCATTTCAAGTATTTTCTTGAAGAAATAACGTTGGAAGGAGCTACTCAAACTCGATTGTGCTTTTTGAACGTACACGGATTTTTCGTATCCGTCTCTGGTCTGTGTTTTACCATTGTAAAATCAACATCCAGTATGAGAAAATGTACCTTCAAAAACTAAAGTAAAGATTTTGATAGGGATGATTTTGACAACGTAATATTCACCAATAAAGATTCTTAGGCATATATTAACATGATTAATACGCTAATGTTGCACACTTCGAATGATGCACTGTCAATTTAACAGTTTACGTCAGTACAGCGAATTTGTATCAAGTCAAGTTTAATATCGTTTTTATGTCAAATTGTTTATATGATGCCCAACTGATTAGCATGATTGCCTTTTGTTACGTAGTCTTAAGGGATCAAAATCGGGATAAGACAAAAAATGTCCGGCTGGCACAAATATTTTTTGGAAGCCCTGGTCGGAACAACTTTACACCATCCAGCTGGTGTGTCAGGTCCTCACCTCAATTTTCACGTTATGCTCCTTGGTAAAATTTCATATTGAGTCAGTTTGTTTGACTTTGTTGGTTAATTTCAAAATTGATACGTTAAAATATGTATACATCCCAGTATACAAACTGGCAAGACACAAGGTCTCTTTTTGACTGTGGTATTTTCAAGCACACTTCTTGTTCTGAGTTGTTTATGGTTCTTTACCAAGATTTTCAGATTTCTTTGAGACCGTTTGTTTTCATAGCATAGGGCCTCCACTTTAGGACACAATAAAGTGTTGATTGGATTCTCTATAAAATTATTATTTGAGACTGCTTTAGAGTCAATTTAAAAATCTTCTGCTCTGAAACCACAAGGCAAAATGTTTTGAAACTTTACAGGCTTAATAGATCCAGTACAAACCACCTGCTTTACACTGTATTTGATTGTTCTAAGCTTAAATGTTTTTTTTTTGTAATTTTTAGGAAGATTCTGCTATTGAATCTAGACCTGGAACATCACAAACATTAACACAGCTTGACCCACTGAGTACAGACATAGAAGACTTGTATGTCAAATATAAGGTAAATATTACTGGATTAATTTGATGTTGTAAATTAATATATAAATGAATGCACTAAGTTGTCAATAAATCATTCAAAATGTGACATAAATCTGTATCTCAACACATGAATAAAGCATTGTTAGTGTAAAAATGCATGCAATAAATCTTAACAAACATTTTGTGACAGTTTGTCATCTCTTTTATTGAAACAATGCTCTTATCAAAGTAAGGAGTATTGCTAAACATCAGTGATTTTTTACTTGCTTGCGACGAAAGTCGAGGAAGGCATGACATAGGAGTTGCTTTCTTGCAGCGGCGACAGCATCAACAATTGTTAAGTTTTCTTATTAAGTCAGTATGATAAGAACAACTTGTGGTAGATCAATGACATTTTCTATGAAGTTGCATTACTATCAGTTTGACAACTATTTTGAGGCCCTGGTCCCCTTGGTCATGGTCCAGTGACTTTCAATTAATTACCAATTTTCAATGTTAAGTTTTCTGCTTAAGTTAGTTTGATAGGATCTACTTATGATAGACAATGATATTTTCTATAAAAGTGTATTACTATCAGTACATCACAGTTTTGACGATCATTTTGACGCACTGCCCTCTATGCCATGGTCAAGCAACTTTGAATTAATTAGCAATGTTGCTGTCCCTCTGATTGTCTTTTTCTGAGTTTTTGCCAACAGGCTAGACATATCTCTGTGTTGACACTTTATTTTCTATACAAAGGGCTTTAGATCTCTTAAATTGATTTTCCTATGGATTTCCAAACTCTCTTAAATTGTATTAATACATACCGGTAATACAATGTAAAAATAAGGAGATGTAGTATGATTGCCAATCAGACAACTATCCACACAAAAAAGTAAGCTTGTTATGGTTTATTTCTTCATCAAAATAATTTTTTGTGGTTTTCCATTGCAGAACTTAAACTTCACCATTTGTTAGATAATGGATTGGAAACCCCATTGACAGTTCCTAAAGTAAATCAGTAAATTACTTTGATCAAAGCTATCTTGTCAAATTGTACATAATTTTCTTATGCACCTCTTATTATGCTACCTGAAAAAAAGTCGGAATCATATAGTCATTGCTGTCTTTTCCTATGTCTGTCCATCCTTCATCTGTGTGTTGTCAACAAATGGTTCCATATGATAACTTCACTTTGCCTTGCTTGATTGGATTAAAACTTATACAAATGAAAAATCAGGCCAGGGATGGAAAAGACACCTAATGATTTTTGAGTCAATAGGTCTCGGTCACTGTTACTAAAAATAGATTGTTTGTTGGAAAAATGGTTTCAAGAAAGTAATTAGAGTTTCCCCAACCTGTCAGATTGGAATGAAATTCATTCAGATGGTATATGTGCCAACTTTCGACTTGTTTTTTATGCCCCTGCCGTAGCGGAGGGGGCATTTAGTGTTACCCTTGTCTGTCCCATCTGTACTTCCCCAAAATTGGTTTCCATTATCTAACATAAGTTTGCCTCAACCCATTGTTAAAAAACTTATACACAATGCTTATTACCACAAAACACAGATCAAGTTCGAAATTGGGTGGCATCACTTTTACCGTTCATGAGTTATGCCCTTTATAAACATTAAATTGCTTAATTTTTCATTGCCGTTCTATAACTTTAGTTTGCCTCAACCAAATGTTATAAAACTTATACACAATGCCTTATTACCACAAAAAAAACAGATCAAGTTCAAAATTGGGTGGCGTCACTTTTACTGTTCATGAGTTATGCCCCTTTATAAACATAAAAATGGCTGAATTTTTCTTTTTCTTTCTCTTAACTTTTGTTTGCCTCATTACCACAAAACACAGATCAAGTTCGAAATTGGGTAGCGTCACATTTACTGTGTTCATTAGTTATGTCCCTTTATATACATAAAAAGTGCTGAATTTTTCGTTTCAGTTCTCTTACTTTAGTTTGCTTCAACCAAATTTTATAAAACATATACACAATGCTTATTACCACAAAACACAGATAAAGTTTGAAATTGGGTGGCGCCACAATTACCTTTCATGAGTTATGCCCCTTTATAAACATAAAAATTGCTGAATTTTTCGTTTCAGTTCTCAAAATTTAGTTTGCCTCAACCAAATGTTATGAAACTTATACTTAATGCTTATTACCACAAAACACAAACCAAGTTCAAAATTGGGTGGCGTCACTTTTACCGTTCTTGAGGTATGCCCCTTTATAAATGGAAAAATTGGTAAATCTGTTGTTTTCCTTCTCTAACTTGAGTTTGCCTCAACTAAATGTTATGAAACTTATATACGGTACACAATGCTTATAATCACAAAACGGTCTTAACTACGTGAATCCTGCATCTGTATGTGGAAGTTGACTCATGCATATTTACAAGCAGGGGCATCTGTGGCCCATAGCACATTTATTTTGTGATTTATTGAGAAATCATGTTTTGTATTTATTCAGAGGAATAGTAGTCCATTTGCATTTCTTTAAACTGCTCGATAAATACCTTCAGTCACGCAACAATTCTAAACCTTTTTTTCTCAGAAACTCCAAAGACAACTTGAATTTTTAGAGGTTCAAGAAGAATACATAAAAGATGAACAGAAGAATTTAAAGAAAGAGTACTTGCATGCTCAAGAAGAAGTGAAAAGAATTCAGAGCGTACCCCTTGTTATCGGACAGTTTCTAGAAGCAGTTGATCAAAACACTGGCATTGTTGGTTCTACCACTGGTTTGTATATCACACATTCTGTATATGTATCTATTTTGAAATTTTTGAAAAGATTTGAACTTAAAGTCACTTTTGCCACTAAACTCACACACATTGAAATATAGTTCCCTATAGTTCACATGTCTATGTAAATTTGCAAAATTGAAAACGGAAAAATTTATTCTGGAGAGCTGTGTATGCCATTGTATTGTATTATATTGTCAATTTGCTTGCTTACTTGGACATTGTTAAGTAAGTGTACTGTACAATACAAACAGATTGATACAACTGTAATTATCAATAAAGAACTTGAAACACAAATTTTCAATTTGAAACTCCTCTTCTTTCATGTCAATCTGAAAATACCTAATGTTTGACTTGTAGTTAAGTGTAACAGCTCTGATCTAGTTAAAATAAAATTTTAACAAGATAACTTCTTGTCTATGTCAATTAACATAATAATTATGCATACATATAAACATAACTTCACAGTACCCTAATTGCACAGAGTACCCAAATTACAATCATTTAGCAAGATAGCAGCGGAAATCTTAGAAACTAAACAATTTGTATTGTCATGATTTGACATTATGCACATCTTTCAACATAGCTAATATATATTTAAATATACACAAAACGTTCACATTATATATCAACAGATGAGGTATTCACTGTAAAAAGTCAAATGTAAGGAGATGTCGCCATGTGACTTCTACAAAAAGTCAGCTTTTAAAAATGAGCAATTAAAATATGTTACAGGCATCCATTTCTTAAAAATCAACTCCTCCTAAATAGCTAGATGGATATAATTGAAGCTTTAAACAGTCACAGCCCCACATATAAAAGGGAAAAAAATCTAATTTACTTACTACAAAACTGCAATATGAATTATGTGGTAATGCTCTCCATAAGGTTGGGGGGGGGGGGGGGGGGGAGGGGGATCATTTTGTGAGTCCAACTACAGTTTAGTTTTATATTCTTATCACTAATCATAAGATACTAATAAGATAAGTATATAAAGAACTGAGTGGTTGTACTAACTATAAAAAGAAAAACAGATTCAGAATTTTTTAAGGATTTATTTACATTGAAAAAAGACATACATGTGTAAGCATTATTACAATAATAACAGAAGTAAACTCTTTTTGAATAGAATGCCCATAGTTTGTTCTACTCATATTGTATGGTATGATTTATTGTACAAGCCTGTAATTATAAAACATTATAAAGAACATAGTACATTAGATTCTAACGAGTGTTACTATCTGTTTATTTTAATTATCAATTTACTGCACTGTCTTATTTCTTTTAATGAATTGGAAATTGTTTGTTCTTAGATGTTTTCCTTAAACTGTATGATAAATTGCTGTTTTCTATTTCAGGTTCAAACTACTATGTGAGAATTCTTTCGACAATAGATAGGGAACTGCTTAAACCCTCAGCCAGTGTTGCCTTACATAAACACAGCAATGCTCTGGTTGATGTCCTTCCTCCTGAAGCAGACAGTAGTATTACAATGTTGTCATCAGGTCAGTATTTACATGAAAATACTAATGTATTCATGTACAAATATATTGTTGATCAACATTTACCTAAAAGCAAAGAAGTCTTCTCTAATTTACCATGTGTTATAAATGTTAGATTTCTTAATTTAACAGACTTTAGGAAATATGCTGGATGTTGGACAAATTGGACAAATATGCAGTGGGTTAGTCAAAAATGTCTGAATCCATATTCAGGTCCAAAATCAAATTTAAAAAGTTTCATTAGGTTTTTTGTCTGGCCTGCGACTTTAGTCGCGGAAAGCAAGACATAGGGATTGCTTTTCCAGCTCCTGCTCTGGTGTCAACAATTGTTAAGTTTTCTGCTTAAGTTAGTTTGATAGGAACTACTTGTGATAGATCATTGATATTTAATATAAAGTTGCATTAGTATCAGTACATATCAGTTTGACGACTATTTTGAGGCCCTGCCCCCTAGGCATACCTGTCAACCTATGAAAATGAAAATGCAGGTCATGACCTGCATTGAAGAAGAAAATCTCAGGTCATAATGCCTATGAACTTTTTTCAGCTGAATTTAAGTATTTAGGGGACATTTTTTTATATTTTAAATCAAACAGTTTCCAAAATATGTTCACATGGTGAAGTACTAACTGGAAATAATTTAAAACTTAATTTTATTTTTTCATTGCATACTAAGCCATTGAAATATTTTAAATGTGTTATACTTAGTCATTTGAAGCCAAGCCATACCCCCTCTTATTGTTTCATTCATAGTAGTAAATCAATTCTCAGGCTTCTTGCTTCCCAGTATGTATAATAATGTGCAGATTCTCTAAGATTGTCAATATTGGAATATGATAAAACAATAAGCATTTAAAGGAAGTAGAGTTAATTTTCAAAATAATTTTTTAATTGTTCTAAGGTAGAAAAATTAATGAAATTAATATTCTGATATGTATTTGCATTCAATTTGTTTTAGTTTTATTTTTTACCAAAAAACAAACATAAAATTAAGGAGTATTATGTGAAAGGTGACAAAAAAGGGGAAGTAACTCAAATTTATAGTCAAACAACTTTAAAATAGACAAATTATTTATGACCTTAAGCTAAGGTAATTGGTGATAATGAACAGTGTGTTTGACACCAAAGCTGTCAATTGAAGCCATGCACTTAATTAATGGTTCACTTAATTTGACAGTTAACACAGCTAGTTGAACTTCCTGTCCGGGAAGAATTACGAATTTTCCGGTATTTCAAAGGAAAATTACTTATGAAATCAGTCTAAAGTCTCAAGAATCTGGGTGAAAACAGTGCATTTTCCGAATTCCCGGGTTATTTAATGACCTGGTGGTGTTTAAAAAATCTTGTGTATGGGGTGAAATTCTCGGGTGTGACCCACAGGATACGGGTCAGTTGACAGGTATGCCCCTAGGACATGGTTCAGTGACTGAATTAATTAGCAATTTTCAATGTTACGGTCAGTTTTTCTGCTTAGTTAAGTTTGATAGGATCTACTTGTGATAGATCAATGATATTTTGTATGAAGTTGCATTACTATCAGTTTATATCATTTGAAATTATAAGCAATGTTGCTGTCCATAAGATTGTCTTTTTCTGAATTTTATGCTGATAGGCAAGACATATCTCTGTGTATTCAGCTTATTGTTCCTACCATAATTTTGATGAAGGCTAATATATTGTATCCTCTAATTCATTCTGTTAAGCTTCACAATTTATATAATAAAAAAACGAGACTTTATAATTTTCTGGTTTTTTTTCTGTGGAACATGTGCTAATTACTGGATACAGAGTGTAAATCATTCCCCACTTCCATTCTCAATTTAATCAATGAGACAGTAGACTAATTGTGCTGAAAAAACAAAATACATCTAGAGGTCAATATTTGGTCTTCATAAATAGACAAGTGTCTATACAATAAAATCACAAGCTCTGAATAACCCCTAAAAATTGTTGTTTTTTAATCAAACAAAGGCTAGCAGCAATCTTCCATAAACACTGAAGATATAGAAAAAGAACAGAATTTTTTGTCACTATTCCATGAATATGAAATCCTATTGTGCATCTCTGTAAGAGAGAAGTTAATCTTACAAAATGAAAACAGGTAATGGGAACTTCTTATCTTTTATATCAATCTAAAAAAAAAATCTTTTATGAAAATAATAAGGGCACATTATGTTAACTGCCCCATCTGCCCCCAGATTCTAAATAGAACATTGGTATTTCTTAGAATTCTTTCCCCTTTATATTATATTTGTAATTTATTGAGTATACCTCCCACTGTGTACTTCAATGCATGTAGATGTATAATAAGTACTATTGCCATCTAGCAAAGAATACTGCTTAAGAAGATGCAATGTCTTGAACTTGCAGTGATTGTTGAGTTTTTGCTCTGTGTTGAAGGGCTCACTGTGACTAAGATGAAAATAGTAACAAAAGTATTGTTCTTTGCTGTTGGCATTTCAAGAGCTTGCAGTGATTTTGTATTGTGAATTAGTACTCTAGATTCTTTCTTTTCCATTATCTCATTTCATTGTAGAAAGTCTCTTTTTTCAGATGAGAAACCTGATGTTTTGTACTCAGATATTGGAGGAATGGATATCCAAAAGCAAGAAGTACGAGAGGCTGTTGAGCTACCACTGACACATTTTGACTTGTATAAACAGATTGGTATTGACCCACCTAGGGGAGTTTTGATGTATGGTCCTCCAGGATGTGGCAAAACCATGTTAGCAAAGGCAGTCGCCCATCATACAACAGGTACTGTATAATGTTTAGAAAGATTGATATATGGTTTTTATACGACCGCAAAAAAATTTTTGTGGTCGTATATTGGTATGACGTTGGCGTCGTCGTCGTCGTCATCGTCCGGCGTCGTCGTCCGAATACACATTAGTTTTCGCACTCTAACTTTAGTTTAAGTGAATGGATCTCATTGAAATTTTACCATAAGGTTCAATACCACAAAAGGAAGGTGGGGATTGATTTTGGGGGTTATGGTACTAACAGTTAAGGAATTAGGGGCCAAAAGGGGCCAAAAATAAGCATTTTTGTAACTTCCAGACATAACTTGTGTGTAAGTGTATGGATCTCTCTGACATTGTACCACAAGGTTCCATATCACAAAGGGAATGCTGGGATTGATTTTGGGGGTAATTGTCTCCAAATTTTAGGAATTAGGGGCCAAAAAGGGGCAAAAAACAAGCATTTTTCTAGTTTCATGACAATAACTTGTTTGTAAGTGTATGGATCTTTATGAAATTGTACTTCAAGGTTCCATATCACAAAGGGAATACTGGGATTGATTTTTGGGGTAATTTCCTCCAAATATTAGGAATTAGGGGCCAAAAAGGGGCAAAAAACAAGCATTTTTCTAGTTTCATGACAATAACTTGTTTGTAAGTGTATGGATCTTTATGAAATTGTACTACAAGGTTCCATATCACAAAGGGAAGGCTGGGATTGATTTTGGGGTTTTCCCCTCAAAATTTTAGTAATTAGGGGCCATAAAAGGGCAAAAAAAACATGCATTTTTCTAGTTTCAGGACAATAACTTGTTTGTAAGTGTATGGATCTTTATGAAATTGTACTGCAAGGTTCCATATCACAAAGGGAAAGCTGGAATTGAGTTTGGGGGTAATTGCCCTAAACGTTTAGGAATTTGGGGCCAAAAAGGGGCCAAAAAACAAGCATTTTTCTAGTTTCCAGACAATAACTTGTGTTCAAGTGTATGAATCTCTCTGAAATTGTACTGCAAGGTACCATACCACAAAGGGAAAGCTGGGATTGAGTTTGGGGGCGATGAATCATAAGGGGGTTAAAAAAATTGGGGGGGGGGATTTTTTTTTTCCTTTTTTTTCTTTAAACATTTTCTATTTTAAATTGGTTATTTCTGATTTATATATAAAAGCAAATAATAATGATATGGTTTGAATAGGCATACATGTGAACCTCCCGACGGGAGTACAATAATCCCGTTTTCAGGGGTCTCCTCCCCCCCTCCCGTTGAAAAAATCCCGTGTATGAAATTTTTCATGAATGAAAAATTTCTGCCCAACATAACATCTCAGGCATCTGGTGTAACTGACATTACCTGAAGTTATATTTTACCTGTAAATCAATTAACATGCATAATTATATGGCTTCACTTGTCAGCTTGGGTGTCAAACATACTGGTAAGCAACGATTTTTACCTCAGGCTAACTGCCGTTGTGTAACAAAAACTGTGTATTTATTGGGTTACTTCCCTTGATTTATCCTGTTTTAAGTTACTTTCCTTTTAATAATGAAAATTTTTAAAAGAATATAAATAAAATATAAATTGAACAAATAATCATAAAAGGATGGTTATTAAATGATTTTAAATGTCTTAGGACAAATAAAAAAATAATAATTTGAAAATTATTTGAGGATTCTATACTTCCTTTTAAGGCTTAAATTGAAATTTATATAATAACTATGACCCTAACTTTACAGATAGAATGAATTTCTGAGTTTGCAAATAAAAACTATATGCAAGAGAAAAAAAAAAAAAAAATAAAAACTATTTGCAGACAGCTAAACAAATGTTCTGGTTGCAATGATTGTTTTATAGAATATGAAGTAAACAATTTAAAGAACATACTGGAAAAAAACAATGTTAGATTGAACATGTAGCATATAAAGATGGAGAAACTTTATAAGTACAAGGGTACTATAAACATAATAAATTGGTTGGAAAGTTGAAGAAAACACACTTTAAAAGACCATTTTTACAGCACACGGTTACATTTACAACAAAATTAATGTCGATTAAAAACCTCCTGATCTGAGTCCTAATCTCCTGACCAAAATTTCCCAATCTCCTGATCTGAGTTTCACAGTCCATCACATGTATGAATAGGTAAATTGAAAATTTTTAAGTTCTTAGACCACTTTCATTCTGTGTCAGAAACCTATGCTGTGTCAAATATTTAATTACAATCCAAATTCAGTGCTGTATCAAGCTTGAATGTTGTGTCCATACTTGCCCCAACTGTTCAGGGTTCGACCTCTGCGGTCGTATCAAGCTGCGCCCCAGCGGAGCATTTTATTAATGATGTGGCAATAACTAGTCAGAAAATGCAGAAACATATAATACAATAATTACTCCATACTGTATAAACAATAAGTATATACCCACTTAGAGGAGGGTTCACATATGGGCTTATGGTCTTCCAATGATATGGCAAAATCAAGATAACAAAGGCAGTAGCCCAATGAAAAGAGAGATTGTCATTGACAAATATCTTCATAGTTTAGAACTTTTGATGTTATGTAAGTTTTCATTGATGTTATTGATGTGAACAAAATGTTTTGCATACTGGTACTGTATTTGTCCTGTTCATAGAATTTTCATACTGATTCTTTTTGTCAAGCCTGCGACTTTTGTTGCAAAAGCGAGACATAGTGATCCTACATTCCGTCGGCGGCGGCGACGTCCACAAATATTCACTCTGTGGTTAAAGTTTTTCAAATTTTAATAATTTTCTTAAACTATCCTGCATTTCAACCAAACTTGGACAGAAGCTTGTTTATGATCATAAGATAGTATCCAGAACTAAATTTTGTAAATAAAAAAAATCCTGTTTATCTGTATTTTACTCATAAATGGACTTAGTTTTTCTGCCAGTTAACATTACATTTACTCTGTGGTTAAAGTTTTTCAAATTTTAATAACTTTCTTAAACTATCCTAGATTTGTACCAAACTTGGACAGAAGCTTGTTTGTAATCATGAGATAGTATCCAGAAGAAAATTTTGTAAAAAAAAAAATCCTGTTTATCCGTATTTTACTCATATATGGACTTAGTTTTTCTATTCTGCCAGTCAACATTACATTCATTCTGTGGTTAAAGCTTTTCAAATTTTTTTACCAAACTTGAACAGAACTTCTTACAATCAAAATATAGTATCTAGAGGAAAATTTTTAATAAGTTTTTCCCCATTTTTGTTGAGCTTGCGACTAACAGCAAAAGTAGACGGGACACTGGGTTCAACGGAACCCTTACAAATTTTTTATCTTACAAGTCAACTTTATAGTTAATAAGGTTATTTGTTATTTTTGACAGCATCGTTTATTCGTGTTGTTGGATCTGAGTTTGTACAGAAGTACTTAGGAGAGGGACCAAGAATGGTGAGAGATGTTTTCCGGCTAGCCAAAGAAAATGCTCCTGCCATTATATTTATAGATGAAATTGATGCTATAGCTACCAAAAGATTTGATGCTCAAACAGGAGGTAAATGATAGGAAAAGTATCTAGCAACAATAAATAGATTTATAAATGAACAAAAAGAGTTATTGGGGAAAAGTATATGAGACATCAAAACGTGTTACAACAGTAGGATTAAAACAGATATCAAAGAATTATTGCAGGAGTATAAGAAATGTTTTAATATTAGTTTAATCAAATACTTTCAATAGGAAGAAAATATTAAGTATTCATGTCTTTCAGGTTTTTTGTATCTTCTTATTGCTGTCGTACTGAATTGTACACCTAATGTATTTTTATTCATCATCACATGATAAAAAAGCTAATACTGGAAAAATATGTACTTTAGTTAATAAGAATTACAAATATGATTTGTTTTCAGCTGATAGAGAAGTACAGAGAATTCTGTTAGAATTACTTAATCAGATGGATGGCTTTGATCAGACTGTTAATGTTAAGGTATATTGTTACACAGAATTTACTGTTAATCATCTCAGAATTTACCCATATAGATTGATTTGTAGTTCTTAATGAGTTAATACTGAAGACAGCTATTTTTTTCTGAAGAAATAGGACATAAATCCTTGGCACAGTAATTTCTTATTTCATGATAAATAAATGGATTTTTTCTTTTTGAAACAACAAGAGACATACTTAGTCACGCACAAATAATGAAGTTATGATGTTGTTATCAAGCAATTTTCATGAGTTGTTAATACCTATCTCTTATGGTAAAAAATCCCTTAGTGTGACCATTTTGTTCTGTTATTTCTGAGAATTGAGTTGGAAGAATTTAGCTAACAGAAAAAGAATTTATGAATGAAGTTTAACAATAAAAAGCTTCAAGGGCTCTTTTATTTATTTTGTCCTACATGATCAATCAAGTAAATGATAATGCAGACAAAGTTGTAACAACAAGAAATAAATCAAACTGTTGTCCAGAAGTTGATTTGCCATTTACTTGTCACCATTGAAGTTTACAAACAGCCAATGAATATGTAACAATTTCAAATCACATTGCAAGTTAGACATACCAAATTAAAGCTTTTGTTGTATCACTCATTGATATTACACTGTTCAATGTGATATGAGAAATATTGCAAAAAAAATATAAACTAAATATTGCTTGCATAAGGCAATGAAGAGATAAAATGAAAAAAAAAAAAAAAAAGCTACAAAGTTTGTTATGCCATTAGTTACAAGATAACAAAAAACTTCTCTTTTTTAGGTTATCATGGCAACCAATAGACATGATACATTAGATCCAGCATTGTTAAGACCAGGAAGATTAGACAGAAAAATAGAGTTCCCAATGCCAGATCGCCGACAAAAACGTCTTATATTCTCCACTATTACCTCAAAAATGAATTTAAGTGAAGAAGTAGATCTGGAGGATTATGTGGCAAGACCAGATAAAATCAGTGGTGCTGATATAAATGCAATATGTCAAGAGGTAGGCAGATAACAGTTTTATTTTGCCTTTATCAGCTCTATAAAGTTTGGAGATTTACTAGTCTTTGTTCATTTGAAATTTCAATTTGTTGATAAAACATTCGGGATTGAGTCATACCTTCATGCTAATGAGAACAATATCATTTAATTTTAAAGTTTTGTAAGATGTAGATAACGTGTAATTGAACAATTGTAGGAGTCAGACACGTAATTTATTTAAGATTCTGATTTGTTGCTTTAAAATAAGATGAAAATAACACTTGATAAATATGGTGCATCCAAAGCACTTGTCTGTAGCCATAAATGTATGTTCATTTCTGTTGTGTTATTTATTTTATCTGATATTTGTTGTACTCTTTTACGAAGAATTCTATGTAGTTTCTTATATTTCTATTTAAACCATTTGAATACATTCTGGAATGTTTTTATGCATGTGCTTTTCTTTCAATTTCACAGGCTGGCATGCAGGCTGTAAGAGAAAACAGATATATTGTATTAGCTAAAGACTTTGAGAAAGGTTACAAGAATAACATCAAGAAAGATGAAACAGAACATGAATTCTACAAATAATTTTTGAAAAGAACTATCAGTATTATTGTTCAATGTCAGTAATAGAATTTCATTAAAATGTCATTTGTCATTTCTTTATTTTTTTAATGAAAATTTTGAAATTCTAAAGACCATAAACAGGGTTGAGGGGAGGTAAATAGCTCAGGTGGATTTTGCTTTTACATCCATCAATAGTTTGAGTGGTCACAGGGTAGACAAAATATCTGGCCAATCAGCCCATGAAGACATGGTTTTTGTTTGATTTAAAGACCAATGAGTAAAGCCAATTGATGATTGATATAAATAGATAAGCATTTGAAATCAGCATTTTTACAAAATGAAAGATATAAAATAGAGTGGACATTGATTGGCTGCTTGAAATGGATGAGTGGAAAAAGCAAAATCAACAGCAGTTGTTCCTATTGTTTCTGGACATTCAATCTATATTCTAAACACATTTTTATTAAATGGTAGATGATGGTGTAATTTGATATTGAATTAAAGTCTGTTGATTTAATTAGGTTACTTATATGTAATATAAGTATTGTTTATACAAACAATATTTCCAGCCAAATTTGACAATTAATCTTTCCAGTAAACATGCTAACATCTTGGATACATTTAATTAACATACACAGACCACTTGCTACATCTTGAGATTAATTTCTCTGGCTTTTGACACTTTGAAGTTACACTGCAATCTCACCAGGGGACACTAATCTATTCTCAATCAGATACATGTTACAATTATTCACTGTAATTGGTGAAAGGCAGGATAATTTCAGATCTCATAAAAATAGTTAATTAGTATATTAACTGAAGGTCAGTGATTTCAGTCTCCTCCCACTAAATGATTGATGTACCCAAATCTGTGTGTTAAGCCATATGCATGGTCTTTGTGAAATCAGTTTCTTGGTTCAAAGCAGTCAAACTAAGTTCAACTTGACAGTTTAACAGTGCTAGAATTCAATTTACCACCCACCAACCCCTTCCAAACACCTTCAATAATGTTCATGACATGAGAAACATCTCAGCTTTTACCAGTGATATTTTTGTTTTATATAGATATAAGAAGATGTGGTATGAGTGCCAATGAGACAACTCTCCATCCAAGTCAAAATTTATAAAAGTAAACCATTATAGGTCACAGTGTGGTCTTCAACACGGAGCCTTGGCTCACACCGAACAGTAAGCTGTAAAGGGCCCCAAAAATTACTAGTGTAAAACCATCCAAACGGGAAAACCAACGGTCTAATCTATATAAAAAACGAGAAACGAGAAACACTTATGAACCACATCAACAAACGACAACTACTGAACATCAGATTCCTGACTTAGGACAGGTGCAAACAAATGCAGCGGGTTTAAACGTTTTAATGGTACCAAACCTTCACCCTTTTTCTGAAACAAAAGTGTAACATCGCAACATAGAAAGACACACTATAAAATATCAACTGAAATAGCTTAACTCAATCAAAGGACATATTAACACCATTGAACATACACTAAACAAATAAATTTGACCTATGATACAATGTAAATACAAAATAAATAAACTAAGGGAAGAATAATAAAAGTAACATGTTATATCGGTATGAAATGTTAAACAATTAAAGAAAAAAAATATGCTCGAACAAAAAGATCAGCCATTTGTTATAACTTGTTTTCCTTGATGGAATTTTATCACTAAAATTTCATTCATCCCCAAGCATATCCGGGACTTTTATCAAATTTATTCCAGCGCCAGATTGATAGACCCTGCTACTTACTACTTGTAATAGCACCACATGGGCTATCCCACATGCAGACCTTGCACACCCTGGCTGCAGATGAGACACCTCGTCTCATCCCCTTGGTGGAGAACCCTCGCTTCACATTCCTGGCTGGCATATTGTCGGGCAGGCAGGTTCTTCCTCACACTACAGGTTGCAATTTGACTTGCTCGGCAGGAACTCCTAAATTCTTAATTATGAAAGTGTTTCTCAAGGGTCTTAATTGACTAGGATTGTCAGTTTTCCTATCGAAGGTCGGTGGTTTTCTCCGGGCACTCCGGCTTCCTCCACCATTAAAAACTGGCCACCACGAAATAGCCCAAAAGCGGCGCTTAAAAGTGGCGTTAAAACACCAAAAAATCAAAATCAAATCAAATCACACTTATGCTAACATTAAATTATTTGGAAATTGGTTTAGATCTACAATGTTCAATTTCACTGATGGTGAGTTTATAAAATTTTTACTTGTTACAATTTACTTTCGACTTAAAACTCACCATTGGGGACTTTGTGGATTGTGATATTGAATTTGAGTTTGGTTATCAAGAGAGTTGTCAGAAATAAGAAAACATTGGATCTATAAGGATTTGGTTCATTACCATACAAACAGAGAGTTATATGCATATTTACATACCAAGAGACAATTACAGATAATAAAACACCACCTATAAAAACTTCAAAGTATGTTTACATTATGGGACCACAAATAACACAGCACAAAATTTATACCATACACAACTACAAAGACAATTTTGTTTGTATAAATCTTAATATATGAATTCTCACCTTAAATTTTAGCCAAACTTATTTTCTGTTTTCTACAATGAGGATTTTTAAGTTTGATTTTCAGATGACCCTGTTTTATTCAAGTATGTGTGATGTCATAATTGTTCAAAGTTAGGCAATGTTGTGGTAAATATATCTGTCAAACCGTAAAGAAAGAATAAAAACTAAATCACAGTAACACCACAAGTTCACTCACAGACCCACAGCAGTGGTATATGAATGTAAAAACTGTTCAGCTACCCTCACAAGAAAAGGTGAGGAGTAAAGCCTATTTAAAATCTTAACAGGATTTCGACAAAGATGTTCTTGAAAAGAAAGCGACACAAAAAGAATTGGCTAAACAAATTAAAAAGTGGACTCCACCACTAAAATCCACAACTTAGATCATGAACCCAAAATCTAGAATTATACCTTCAAAAAGACACTTAAAATACAAAGAACCCTTTTACAATTTTTTTATACTTTTGCCACAGATTTATACCTTTCTAACTCAAACGACTCCATTGATAAATATTCTGAACCTACTATGAAATTAAAAAAAAATTACTATGGTTATTGACTTCACAAGTGACAGCAATTCAACATTATGCTTGGACGAATAAGAAGAAAAAGACTGGTCGAGAGGACTCACTGTACACGCAATTAATAACCTTTGTCATGATATAGAACACTTTACAATTTCAACTTTTAATTCAATTGGACTTTTTATTAGTTTAATATTACTATATTACTAAACAAATACTCATCACATCATAAACATTCTTTAGAGACCATTATTTTGTCAAACAACAGGATGTTTTGGGTACTCAAAATGGATGATATTTAACTGTAGAAAAGTTCAATAGTACAATCCCTTGTGTTTAGAAAACAAGAATATGTATCAATGGTTACAATAAACACAACAATTTTCAATTACTGAGTAAATCCACGGTTTTCAAAACCATCAACTATGCTTACCTGAGAAAAATAAGGGTGGTGCGATATTTTTTCCAGGTGTATACATTATGCTTGCAATCCTATGAAGTGTGTTCTAAATATGCCTTTAGTGTCCTCCAAGAAGTCTGCATACTTCCATTACCAGACGTTGGTTCACACATTTTAATTAAATTATGCAAGATTAAAGATTTCAAAAAAGAAGAAAATAGAAAGATCACCCTTATGAAAAGCTTTTCTTACAAACTAGCTATTTTCTATTGTTACCTTTTGTGTTCTATTCATCATACTATATCTGCTAAATGTTATAATAAACACTTTTTAAAAATATCTTAAAATAACAAAGATGATGCAAATGCATGGACAACACTGATTTTTTATCACCAAAAAAACGTTTTGCTAACTATTTGAACGGTATTGTTAAGACTTGTCAGCCTGTCCTTCATCTGGTTGGCTCTCCCTGGGATAAGGATTAGGTGTTAACTCACAATGAGGGGTGACACAGGGGTTCTCATTTCCAAATTCCCTTTTTTTTGGTAATTTTTTCCCCACCTCCCATCGTTATTTTCCTTCTTGTTCCCCAGATCCCACTTTCCTTTGCCCTCTACCCCACATCCCCACTTTTTTTTTACCCCCTATATCCCACATCCCCACTTTTTTTTACCCCCTATGTCCCACATCCCCCATTTTTTACCCCCTATATCCCACATCCCCACTATTTTTACCCCTATATCCCACATCCCCACTTTTTTAACCCCCTATATCCCACATCCCCACTTTTTTACCCCCTATATCCCACATCCCCACCTTTGTTTACCCCCTATATCCCACATCCCCACTTTTTTTACCCCCTATATCCCACATTCCCACTTTTTTACCCCTTATATCTCGCATCCCAAAAGCATGCCCCTCCATAAATTTCCTCCATTATATTTATTTGTGTGGGAAAATATATAATTATGTCAAAGAATTGTCTCTGGATAAAATGCTGTCGTAACTTTTTGTTATGCAAAATCGTACTTCATCTTATGATGCCAAAACTTTTTGTAACGCATAATCATTCTTCATCTAATGATGCAATCATTTTATGTTTCATGACATCAGCTCCTAATGGAATTTCAGCAGAATGTGCACACAAATGCGTGTGTCAGAATTCTTTCACAAAATATGATTACTGAAAACAACTTAACATCATCAGTAACAAAGTTACCTAGATGAAAGGGGAGGAACCAGAGTCTTGTTATTACTTTGTGTTGGTGTTCCTGAGACTTACTTTGAATTCAAAATTCTGTGCTTTTAACAATGAAATGAAAGTTCATGGCTCCAGAATGAACTAATTGAAATGAGAATGATGGATTAGATTTTGAAACCAAAATCATTATAATGCTCTGTTGAAAATTGAATTATTGGCATTATGTGTTGTTTCTTTTTATATACTGGTACTTAACTTTCGGATAAGAAAATTCTAGGAGATCTGTTGCATTCTTCTTAAAAACAACAATTATTGTAAATGTACAAAACTTAAATTTGACCTCTAAGAATGATTTAAATATTACATAAAATTCTACAAAAGGAAAAATGTACAATTATGTGCACAAAA